AAGGTGATGGCTCTGGGTTTTTTTCTGATTGTCGATTCCAACCTCGCATTAACGGTAACTCCTAGCTTTTGCTTTACTTTCACCATCTGAGGTTAGTGATCTAATACCAGCTCCAGTATTTACAGTACTCCGTACAGAGTAAGGTTAATTACCGAGTTTCTGCTTATAGTCCAAATCCCGCTCGAGCAGCCACAAACCCCCCTGCCCTTGTAAAGCCACATTTAAGCGGCTAACGAGAGGGATCGGACTACCTCCATGACCGGAAACTACACTGAAAATAGTAGTGGACATCGGCCTATATCAAGGTGACTGACCAGTGACGGAACGTATTGTAGTACAAAGCCCTAAACTTATTTTCCAGACTAAGTACAATATAAATGGGTTATTCGCTTTTCACCTAGGGTTGTTACCGAGACAGTAGAGAAGTATCCATGGAGCCTGATCTCACGTACGAATGGTTGTATGTGCCGGATTTTCCTATTATAGTGTAGGCAGGAAACAGGGTTTGCTCTGTGGCTTTCCGTTTCATCCCAACCACGGAAGTGCCTGTAATACATCCATTATTACACGGTAGTGTACTGTAGTGTAGCTCAACCGCCGCCCGCCCAGCTGGGACAAGACTTGTCACTACCATCCTTAGATCCTATCATCCTACAGAGAACCTTACAACACTACAGACATCTTAGTGGGCTTCTGCTTGGGGTTGTACTGTACATAGGTATCCGTACAACGCGAATTTCGACGGTGATCGACGACTTTTGATACACATAAGGTAAGGCTTGCGAGACATTGGGCGCTATGACTGTACGTGTAGTATAGCCCAGAGCTCACACTATTGCCCCAATTTGGTGTTTACCAAGATATTGTCTTCGTTGAGATAGTGTAGAGGCAGATAAGCGTCGGTGCAAGATGCCTTTCACACAGCATGGCACTCCGTTGAGGTGCGGAGAGGAGTTGTTCAGGTTCTGCATTGGCCCCACAACGGTCCCCCGCACGAGCATTGTTGTCTCCATGTTCAATGAATACAGTTACATACAGTGTATGTATGTACTGTACCTACTACTACTTCGTACCTCAAAATTAAAACGTCTGTTTCACTGCCCTTTTCTATACACCATCAACTCTCCTCTTTCTTGAGCTATGTCGTGCCGTGGGGACCACCTTAAGCCTGTGAATCAAAAGATATATTGTTTCTATGTTTTTCTGAAAGGCGCTTGAAATGATGCTTAAATCGCTCTTATTCGATCCAGCATGTTTCTGCTACCCAGGATATGACCTCAGTTACTCAGTGCAAGAGCGGCCAAACCTTGAAATTGAACCCAGGGCCGACCCAGAATAGTGGTTTGGGCTGAGCTTGCGCTCTGCAAGTCTCACGCTCCTTCCGAGCGAGCCGATAATTACTACACTACCTGGTGCCTCCCGTCAACACTGCTTGGTACAGTACTATACATATATAAGGTATGTATGTACAGTACATAGCTGGCCGTACCCGATCTTGCCCGGGTAGACTTTGAGTAGGTATAGGTAAGGTAGGTTACTTATGGATACACCCGACATTGCAGTGCTCCCGTCCGTACATGCATGATTTAGTACACTACTAACCAACTGCATTAGGCCTTTACCTCAACCTCGGCATCGGTTGCCTGTGGCTGCTGCTCCCACGCCTTCGAGCCGCTGCATCTACATGGGTCTTGTGATAGCTCCTTGCAGTCAGCTGAGGCTTATCATTGTTGGTTAGTCCCATACCTACTCTGTACGCAAATCGACGCCGAGCTCGGTTCAGGTCCGGCTCATCCCCGAGTCTGATCGGAACCTTGGAAACCGAAGTGATTGCAAGTGGCCTCTTTGGAGCGCAAAAATTCACAGGTAAATGCGGCGGCTCTGGCTCTGGCCGTTTCCGTATCTCCAAACGAGCCCAAACGCGATCATCCTTCTCGGTCCCGACACTCCACTCTCGGCGAACTGAGCAGTGTCCGAACGGCGTCGTTAATGTGTGAGAAAGCTCCGTCATCACGCAGAGAAACTGCCTTTCGAACAGTCTAGCGAGCCGCAACATACCGTCGCCGCCGTCGGACTGCGTCTATCGTGCATGATGAGGCGTCAGTCGTCAATGCTTCATTCCTTTCTGACAGCTCCCCAGCTCCTTCTTTTAGCAGCTGACATAGGTCTGTTCTATGTGCCTAGTTCGGCGCAGGCGTCTGCTACGTGGATTGTTCCGTCAGCTCGTGTTCGGAAAACCAACGTCGTTATCCGTCGTCATGATTACGGGCTAAGCATGCATTGAAGGGGGCCGCAACACTCGCCCCGACTGGTAGATATGCTACCGGCAGTAAGGAAAATACGCCGTTGTAACAAGTATACAATGAGCCAGCTGATAGAAGAGATCCGGCCTAGGTGTCTCTGGCTTGACGGGCTGATAAGGCAAAAGAAGGGCCGGAGCCACTATCAACATGGACCCGAGACAACAAGTCGCGAAGACGGGAAGGTCAGGGCCGCGGGTATGTGTCCCGACCGGTCATGCAGCCCAAGGGCGGGCCGCGTTTTCGGACCCTTGACGCACGCAGAGTTCTCTTGAAGAAGCCAATATCAACTTGCTAGGTGTCTCTGGAAGGTCGAGAGGTCCCTGCGATCGCCCGTCACACACGCGCATGCCCTCATTCTGTCTCGTGTCACATAAGCGGCAGCCTATCAGATTTTTTATCTCCACGTCCAGCTGGTCTAGCAGCTAGCTCCCAAGACGCACATCAGAGCCGTCGCGATGTCTCTGGATGGCCCTTCACCTAGCCAGAGCATATCGAAGTGCCGCCTGGCTCAGGTTTATTCTCTCCACTGAACAAATCGCTGACCTAGTTCACGATTGGATGTCGTTGCTGACCGTTCAGGAGATAGGGGAATAACGGACTGGAAGCCTGCGGCTCGAACCACTCATCTCGGCCGGCAGCCTGAAATGCTACAGTAATCCTTTTCCGAAACAGGTGGGATGCGTCTACTTACTAGATGCCTGCTGAGAAATTCGAACTGCAACTACCTAGGTATTGTACAATACACAGCAGCAAGGGCGGCATTCGGGCCTACGTCTCTCTAATGCGCAGATCCAATGCAGCATTCCCTAGGAAGGGGATGTCTCCGCCATTACCCCGGTGACAACAGTCTGGGTATCGACCACGACCATCAAGTAGACGTCTAGACGAGGCTACTTTGAATGTTTTGCAGAAAGGATGCCCTTTCGACGTCAAATGCTTCTACAAGCGTCAAACAGGCCGCCCTGGATCATTCGGTGTGGGCCAGCAAAGGGCCGAAGCCGGGCGCGAGGACCTCGTCCCAACCCGTTAGGAGCCCTGTAAGCGGGAATTACGAGCTTGGTCCTGGCCCTCCTGGGTTCAGCCGGATGCCTCTTTTGTCCATGCCGATGAAGAACAAATAATCAACATCAAAGCATCCCAGGCTTGGGATCGACGGCTGGACACCGGCCGCTGGTTATGACCCTTTTCTCTACCGCCTGCAGCATCGACGGCCCGCCCCCCCAACAACCCTTGTCCACGAGGTCGAACCGAGAGGCGGGGTGGACATTGGGAGCGTCGTGCCCGAAGTTTCGCTTCCCAGTAGACCTTCGCTGCGGCCGTCGCCAACAAAGTCAGCCGGTGAATGCACGTCGACATTGCCCAGACACATGTGCACTGAGTACAGAACGGTTTACAGCCTTTTGCATTGTGGCGGATGCAGATGGACACCTCGGAAGGGTACGATGGCCGGTGAGACGTGTCTCAGGCAGCAACAATCCCGGTTCACAGGGGTGAATGCAGCCCACCGACAAGAGTCAACGATACAGAGCTGCATTCGACCCTTTGATGGGTGCCAAGCTTCTATCGGCAGCGGGAAGTGAAGGCAGCGAATCTGGTTCGGGAGTCCATCCCAGATGTGGGCCGTACGATCATGGCTCACTGATGCGATCACTGATGTGCTTAGGATGATGCAGAATCCACGACTGCTACCCCGGTACTCCGTACAGCCATCATGAACTGTCGGACCTGCCATGCGGATGCAGTTGGAGAGGGGCGTCCCACGAAAAGAAAAAGGAAGCTGTCATGGAGAGCAAAAGGACCGAACTAGACAAACAGGAAATTACCTGACGTGTTCCAGATAAGCCCAAGCAAGTGGCAAGGACAGCCTCGCCTGCAGCAGTCCCGATGAGGAACTGAGGGACTCTCGGGGAAATGCAGACAAAAGGTCCCAATGTGGGAAGACAAAGAGTCCTTCGAGGGACTCAGTAGCCGAAATAAACAACCTGGAAGGTGTTGCAGATTCACCGGTTATAGACGGACTCCTTGAGCCTCCCACAGGCAAAACCTAGTGTAGCTGGTAACGTTAACTGTATTGTAATCTGCCTCTCGAGGTACCTCCGAGCTCGCGAAGTAAAACTAAGTCTGACGTTTCTCGGAGTTGAATCCATCGATCTTAAAATTCTCGGTTTTCTGGGCTACCGTTTTGGCAACAGGGAATACTATGTATAAGAAGCAGGGAGAAGTGACTTTGCGGCCTGGACATGACACCACATAGCTTATAGGATTGAGGGAAGGGCAGGTCCTCGGTGTATGTAGTTTAATCGGACGGTCGCTGCCTTCCCTAATGTCTTAAATTACCTACTCGAGCGGTCGAGCCAAGCCAGGCTTACCTATCCTAAAACGGACTCTGCATCGTCGAGTTTTAAGCCCTACGCACGGCCCAGGACGCACTGGCAGCCTCGCTAAGAACTTTTGGGGGTGACACAATCACGTCTCGGTCCCCACTACGTATCTGCTTGGCTCCCGATTCCTCGAGCTTTGTTCTTTTTTCCACCACCTACATCCTGCATAGGCACACGCACATTACACCCCGAAGCCGTATTGTACACTTGGCCCATCAGCTGATCTGCTCTGCCCAGCGAACCGCACGCTGGGCTCCCTGAGAACGCAACAACCAGAAACTCGACAGCACAGCACACAGCACACACACAGCAAAGCATGGCGGGCAAGAAGGGCGGGGCCGAGGGCAACAGCAAGAAGGCCGCTGGCCAGGCCCGTAAGGCCGAAGCCGCGGCAAAGAAGGCTGCGGCTGCCGACGCTGAGAGAGAGGCTGCCGAGTCGGCAGAGTGGCAGAAAGGAGCGAAGACCAATGCCAAAAAGTGAGTCCACTCGGGGCGTTCGCGTCTGTTACTCGTCTCATCGTCTTTTCATCCCCAATCTGCCCTGGTCTTTGTTTTCATTTCCCATTTTATCTTCGATGAGGCATGCTGCGGCCACCCGCCGGGAGGGCACTCCGGCCAGCCACCCGGTGTGAGCTTGCCAAGGGAACCCCCCCACTATGTGTTGTACGACGCTGTGGTGCAAATCTGGCAAAGCGACGATAGCACTCTGGCCGCTGCATGTTCGCTTGTATTGTACCCTTAGCTGGCGACAGACTGTCTGTTCCGCCCTTCTCATTAGCCCCGCCATTATGGACATGGAGTCATGCATCCATATCCCCATTCCCCACACACCTACCGAACCAAGCCGGAATTCGGTACGGCATGCAGCGGCGACGTGACGGGCACTGATCTTCTTGCACGCAATCAGGGAAGCCGAAGCAGCAAAGAAGGCAGAGCAGGCCCGCAAGAAAGCTGAACGAGAGGCCTTGCTCGCCGAAGAGGAGAAGAGCCTCCCTAGCCGATCGGCGCCCAAAAACTCCAAGACAGCGGTCAGAAAGACCAGGGGCTTAGACCTTTCGCAGCTCGATGGTGACAGCAGCGGTCCCCTGTCGGCGCTGAACGCGTCGGGCATTGACAACGCCTTGGACGCGCTGTCTCTGGCAACCTCGTCCGATGCAGCAAAGATTGACAAGCACCCAGAGCGGCGGTACAAGGCAGCCCTGGCCCAGTTCGAGGAGCGACGACTCAAGGAGATGGAGGCGGACGGCACCGGCGCTGGCCTGCGGCTGAACCAGAAGAAGGAGAAGATCAAGAAGGAGTTTGAGCGAAGCCCCGAGAACCCCTTCAACCAGCTGACTGCCCGCTACGATGCCTCCAAGGACGAATTGGCTCAGCTTCGGGAGCAGGAAAAAGCCAAGATCGAAGCCCGCCTTACGTCCAAACCCTGACGAGACAGGGTACGTTCCCCCTTCGCGAAGGGCTCCCCTGGAGAAGGCTTGGAGAGGACATGACAGCTGGGGGCTCATGCAGCATCCTAAGATAGGAAGGTGCAAAACTCGGCGAGGAAGTGCCCTCGCCGAGGCGGGGTGTCCAATGGTGGTTCCCCAATCCGGCACAACGGTGCTCGGTTCGACGCGGTGGCGCACGCAAAGGATGTGCCAGCAAGGATTCAGCTTGGGCACTTTTACTATGGACGACTTGATGAGATGATATGAGGTACGAAGTATGTGCATAGATTTGCCGGCGCCTTATGGTAGACCGTAAATGAAGCCACACCAAATTACGGTACAAAGAGTTAGGTTAACGATTGAATATGTTAGTGCTTTCACCACCTTAGGTACATGAGCACTTTACACTGTTTCAAATGCTTCACTTACCTATAGGTACGTGCCAAGCAGCTGCTTTGGTCTGTGTAGTGTAAGTTATGATCAAGGGCAGACGGGGGGTGATATATCTGGGCACAACCCTAACCCTGTTGGTTTCTTGGTGTTCTTGGCGCCGATGCATGAACGTCGACGTCTCAACATCACGACCATGGTCGACGGATGAGCAAACCGAGGCCCCCATCTTCTTTGACCATGGCCATGAAACGTACTTTATATGACTCATAAACACCTTTTGAGTGCAGTAGAACCCAATACCAACAGATTTCCGCATGGCTTCCTCCGCGACCGCAAAAATGGGCACTTTGCCCGCCATGAAGCGACAGCATCTGCTTGCCGAGTTGTATGTCCTACTTATCATCCCCAGTAATCTGCTTCTTTAAACGTGGAACTCCAGGTTACATGGTGTGCTGACTTGTATCTCAAGTGCCGGGCTCAAACAAGCCTGCCCACACGGCATCTATGTCAGTCTGACGCCGGGCGACCCAACCCTTTGGTCGGGTGTAATCTTCGTCCGCAAAGGTCCAGCCTCCCTTCCCTTCAGTTCCTTTGCAGAATGACCGTTTAATATTGCCTTGGTCATTTACTTGACCTTCCTGGCAACATTTTCCCGCTTCCAGTTTTGATATTAATCTCTCCTCTCACACTTGCCTGAGCTCACAAACTCATGAATCCATCCATCCTCCTTCACCCACCCGACTCACGTGAAAAGCAAAACCCTCAACTAATCAAAACGGACAACAGGCCCTTACGCAAACGCCATCCTCCGCTTCCACATTTCCTTTCCGGACACGTACCCGTCGCTGCCGCCCCTCGTCACCTTCTCGACCGACATGTTTCACCCGCTCATCACCCCTCTTACCACCTACATGTACTCAACCGATGTGCAGGACGGCGGGACCGTGAGCGCCTCGGACGACGAGCGGCTGCCCCCCGGCGGCTTCAGCCTGCGGCATGGGTTTCCGGGCTGGTTTGGGCGGGGCTCGAGGGCGGCGCGGGCGCAGGCAGCGACCCAGCACGAAAGTAGGGGGAGGGAGAGCACTGGTCAGGGCTCGGGGGCTGCTGCTACTGGGGGGTATTTTGCTGTCGAGGGGAGTAAGGTGGTGGTTTCAAGTGGTGGTAGTAGTGGTGATGTTAATGGCAGTGCCGCGGCAGTCACGACGCCGCCGAGGAACAAGGGCGCAGTCACGGTCACGGCCACGGCCACGGGAGGGACGACGCCTGCCTCGGCCGCATCCAGGGGATCGGCTGCCTCGTCGTCCTCTGCTGGTACGCCGGGGTACGCACAGACCCGCCGCGGCGGGAGAGAGGTGTCAACGTACGAGGTGCTGAGGTACATCCGGAGTACGTTTGACGATGAGGATGTGCTGGATTCGGTGCCGCTTGAGGCCGCCGGTAACCCTGGCGCCTGGCATGCGTGGCGCACACACCGCCGGCAGACGGCGGGGAAGGCGTCCTCCGCTTCGGAGGGTGAGGCGGCTGCTGCTGCCAGTGGTGGGAGTCTCACTCCGGCTGCTCCTGGTCAAAGCGCTCCCGTCACGACCAGACGTCCAGAAGAATGGAACTGGGAGGGGGTTTGGGAGGAGAGGGTAAGAAGGGGCATTGCGGCCAGCTTGTCAGAGGGTGTACTGTACGGGAATGCTGGGGCGGCTGATGAAGTGGTACGCTATTCGTTTTCGTTGCTAATGTCCTCCCGTCGCCTGCTACGGTGCCGGCTGACGATGATTGGTAGATCAACTTCCTCAACATGGACGATGCTGAGGTCGAGGGAGCGAAATCAAATCTGCTCCGTACGCTTGGCGCATCGGCTTAGCACGAAGGCCTCTGCATGGCAGGCTGGTTCTTTCCCGGGTGCATGACCCTCGGCTAGCTTGGAAGGGAAGGTGGATTGGTAGGCGCCTCTACAGTACCTGACGCCTTTCAGGGAGTTGGTGGTGTACTCTTCTAGGCTTGGAATCCAAGTCACTCATCGTACTCGGCAGCGGTTTCGTAGTGGAGTGGAGACCTTGTCTGCCGTTTCGCGCGTCGGGTGTTAGGTGGCTAAGGTACTCACATTGCTTTCGCGGGCGTGATCACGAAGCTTGGTGTGTACTATACTTCGACATCAAACGCATGGCTGTCTGATAGGTTACATGCATGCATAATACCTGCTGCTACAAACTATCCTTCGTCCATGTTTTATTCCATCGCCGTTGGAGCAGGACTGCCAGCAAACACTCTACCGTAGTAGAAACCGACTGCACGTCGGGGCGCCATGGATGACATCGTTACCAACAGCGAGCGTTTCGGTCCCGGCGGGTTTAGCGCTTACTCGCATGGCTGGGTCGAGAGCGACATTCCCAAACCGTTGCGGATTACGAAGCGATCAGCTCAGCAGCGGCAGGTTCGGGTCAGCAGGGACTCCCGTTGTTGCAGCTCTGAAAGCGATGCTTCGGACATAAGAACGGAGGAGGATAGTCCGGAAGAGCGACCCGGTGGTGAGGGAAGCCTGAAGATGCCGAAGAGGAAGGCAACGCGATGTGGTCCAGCTGACTCGTGGCCTGTTGGCTGCGACTTTCACAGGCGCACGAGCGGACAGAATGCAGACGGGTTACCCTCAGACCCGCCCGAGCCGTGTAGGATTGAAGCACTCTGCTTACGCCCGTCAGTCCATGCAGCTAAGCTGTTGGTTCCATGCGCCGATTCTCAGTATCAACGATCCACAACAAGCCGAGAATCACGTCGGATTATATCCAACGACAGAAGTAGGTTGCACGAATCGTTTCAATTAGAGAGTCCGAGCTTGTCGTTGGCAGCTCAAGGGAGAATCTGGGATGGTCCTGCGAATCACCATAGCTCCTCCAGAGGGGTGAGCCCAACCGTCAACGCTACAGCAGAGAAGCGGAGCAAGCCGCTTTTCTCACCCCGGAATGGGAGGAGCCATTGCCCGCCGGGCCCATCTTCTGACGCTGGCACGCGGTCGGTCACAGCTCCGGAGTTTGTATCTGCCGGCCCCAGGAGTCAGGGGTGCTCCCCCTACGAGCAATGTATCGCGGATCCGTTTGTATTGGTCCCCCAGATCATCGTGACCCCTGAACAATGCGCTCTTGGCGAGGGCCTCACAACTCTGTGGGCAGCCGTACAGCTTTCGACACAATTATACCGGACTGGCGCCACTGGCAAACACGCAACTTATGCCACCCTCGCGACCCATGGCAATGAGTCGTCTCTACCCGGTAATAAACGTACGGCAACACCTTAGATACGTTCGGCACAGCTAATCTTTTAAAGGCAATCCTCGGTATCGATACCTGTATGATGTGTCAGTTGAGATATTGCCCACAAACAGGAGTACAATTATCGAGGTGCTAGATGGCACCGCATATTCCGAGTATTTTCAAGCCCATCCCTTCATCTTTCTGATACCATGCTAACAGCAAGAAAGATCGGAAAGAACCATGCTATATCCAGGCTCTCGCATTCTTCTGGTTGTCCATGCCAAACTTCCACCTGAAGATCGCGGGCATAAGCACGGCTATGCTCGTCAAAGCTCTGACGATATCATGGAAGAGCTTGAGAACTACCTCAGCGGTACCATGATGGAATTCCTAAAAGTTCGCGTCACGTACCGTCACTGTGGCTTTCTCCAGAAGTCAACGCGTGTTGAGACGGCACTGGACGATTTTCCAACGCATCAGGGCGTCCCTAGCTTGCAGACAACTGTCCAAACCACGGCAACCGCAACCATCATGCGCTACGACTCTGGCTCCCCGTGGTCCCCACGTTGTCACACGCCAGAGCCAAACCCTTTGTTGAAGATTGTTACCGCGCACTGGGGAATCAAGAGTGCACGCGAAGTGATGCAGCGTGTGGCCACCTCCAAGCACATCCCGTGCAAGAAGACGAGTGCAATACCGCCGCCAACAGTACTCCTGCCTTCTGCGGCATCAGTTGTATTCAACAACGGTCATCGGGAAGAAAGCTTCGAGAAACGGGACTGGAAGCAAACACCAAGAATGGAAGTGGCTTCACAACACAGCCCGATTCGCGCCGCAAGGGGGGCGCCGCCCGTTCCCAAGCGGCGAGCCAGCTTGAAGCAAGCATCGACATCATCACCATGGTTAGATTATCCAACGGGGACAATCCCGGAACCTGATGTTCAGCGGTGCACCAGCCTTGACCGGGCGAAGATGAACCGACTCCAGAAGCGTAGGGGTTCACGAGGAGACATGGCGGCGGCGCTAGCGTGCCGGATCAGTTTCCGCATGAGCAAAGCCAGGGATGCTTCGCCTACGTCTCGGACGGCTTCATCTAGCGTCAAGAGGCCAGCATCATGGCCCCCAACCACACCTCCCTCGCCCGTACAATAGGGGGAAGCGCCAGCGGCATGGAAGGCAGCAGATGGGAGGCGTCGAAGGGGACTGGAGCGGCAACGGGTCCGGCATGAGGGAGAGAAGTCGCTCAGGGGCGATCCGTCGATTTCTCGGCTAGCTCTGGCAATGGTAAACGTAGAACCACCGAGGAAATCCAAACCAGGGAGACTGGCCCTGTGGCGGGTGTTGGAGAACGTCGTGAGTATAGACAAGCAAGGGAGGGGGGAGAGGGGGGGTGGTTGTATAGAAGGCAAGGATGGGAAGCTGGTGGCAATAAGAGCAGCTACTCGTTATTAGTACGTGTCTCACGCCACGCATCGATTGCCAGAACAAAACGAAAGATAGAAAACACGACATAGAATCACTGTGCTTGTCCCCCTGTCTCCATACTTGTCATATCATTGGTTATCTTGCTGCTGCTGGTGTTCCCCCTTGATTTTGGGGAACAGGATTTCCATCATCGTCAAACTCAGCCCACCGAAAGAAGGCGCAAGCCTCTTTGCCGGGGACGTTGCCCGCGTGGCACATCCAAAAGTAGCGCCCCCAGTTCTCGCGCTTCTTGGTCACGACGCGCAGCACGGCGGGGACGCCGCACGGACAGCGCGGCGTGTTGCGCGGGTGGAAGCCGGCACGATAGTAGCGGTAGGTGATGTTGATGCGCCGGTTGCCAGCCAGCGGGTGGGGTTCGATGGCCTGGGCGGGGCTCACGCAGTGCTTCCACTCCTCTTGCATGTCGGCGTGCATCACCAGGAGGGAGTTGTGCGGAAGGTGGATGGCGATTTGCCCCGCCGCGTCAGGGTTGGTGTCGTTGCTGTCCTTGTTATTGTCATCGACGTCGGGACCGTCGTCCCCGGTTGAAGTTGGGAGGATCCGCCGCACCCGGAACTCACGCGCCACGCCGAGCGAGAGCGAGCCGATTACTGGGCGGGGGCCGAGGTACGTTAGTTGGTCGCTGTGCTGTTGGTTTGCGTTGGCGTCTGGTGTCTTGGGATGCGGCTGATGGGAAGGGGGAAAATACATACCCAGCCGACGCTTTCTTGCGGCCCGTTGTAGCAATTCACAAAGGCTGCATTAGGGGACCATGGGCCAGGCGACTGGTATTTGAGTTTCCTCCCGCCGTAGCGAGTGCGGATGCGCGCCTCAATTTCCCGGTTGACCGCCTCCTGAACACGGGTCCTGACTCTCTCCAACTGCGGTGTCAAAGTCCTTACGTCCTATATATCATGTCAGAAGATAGTGCATTAAATATCACGCAAGGGGAAGAGGCAATCGCACCGTCATTCTCGAGCCATTGTACACATACTCATGCTTCTGCTCCTGCAGCTCCTTGTAGCTGCCAACGTAGAAGCCCGAGGTGTGCGGGCTCGAGACAACATTGTCAAACAGTTTAAATGTAATCTTCTCGAACGACTTTGATTCCTCCAGCAACTCAAGTAACAGGGCATTTGCTTCCTCTGCGGGCAAGAAGTTATGTATGATGGTACAAGGTGTGTGGTCGCTGACGTCTCTGGGGTCGTATAGATGCAACGTCGTTCCTTTTCGAGAGAGGAGCTTCGCCTTTTTGGGCGAGAGAGACGCAACCGCTGTGTTAGAGCTGATGGCGAAAGACCGCAATGAAGTCTGAGCAGGTACGGCAGTGCTGGCACCAGGTTTCTTGAGCAGCCGGGGTGCTTTGAGCGCCCGTGTTGTCGCCTCGACATTGCCATCGTGAGCTAGTAAAATGTCAAGAAGCGTTTCTTGACCAATACGTGGATGTAGAGACGACAGTATGGCCAGTTTTACATCTGTTGACTCTTCAGAGGCATCATCTGCACATGTAGCAGTAGCACCGTGTGTCGCTGATTCTGGGCTGGACTTGCGTTTCTTCCTCGTCACGAAGGCGTCCATGTCAGCGTTGATGGCCAGCAGACCGGCTTAAGTCCTGGGTGATGCGGATCGTGGAAACGCATATCCTCATCTCTCTGTGTTGTAACGACTGGTAGCTGATGAGAATTGGAGTACGGAGTAGGTTGGGGTGAGTTTGACGCGTTATGGTGTCAAAGGGCGTAGAATGTGGGGTTAGAACACGCGAAGGGTAAGCGCAGTCACGGGATCTCTTTCGCAAATTTAATGGAGGGGCCACTCTGGGACAGGGTTGCCTCCACATGATGGTGGGGCAAGCACCAAAATGATGTAACTTCCATGAGACCCCAAAACTGCCGAGGCACACATTATGTACCCCACGATTCATTGAATGCCGCCATTTCCCTCGCTGATACGAATAACCGAATGGAAGTCACTCAACTTCTCAAAACCTCGGATTGGCGTTCCACACCTAGGCCAACGCCCGTCGACGGCACAAGGGGGCGATGGCGTCTATGCTGGAGTTCCGGACCCCCGGATTCAATCCGTACGCGGTCAAATACTCGCCCTACTACGATTCGCGACTCGCCGTCGCCGCGTCGGCCAACTATGGCATCGTGGGCAACGGTCGACTCTTCGTGCTTGGCCTGGGTCCAGGGGGCATTCAAGCCGAGAAGACCTTCGACACAAACGATGCTCTCTACGACCTTGCCTGGTCCGAGATTAACGAGAACCAGCTCATTGTTGCCGGCGGTGATGGTTCGCTCAAGCTGTTTGACATAACAACACCCGACGAATTCCCCGTCATGAACTTCCACGAGCACAAGCGGGAGGCCTTCTCCGTGTGTTGGAACCCAATCGCCAAGGATACCTTCATCTCCAGTTCCTGGGACGGGACCGTCAAAATCGTGAGATCTTTTCTTTCTCCCCTTCACCTAGCTCCCTGTGCGTCGCTGCCCTGGGATTAACCGATGCTTTGATGATCCCTTTGGTTCGACCAGTGGTCTCCGTCTCGCCCATCATCCCTCAAAACCCTCCCAATCGGCAATTGCGCCTACTCAGCCTGCTTCTCCCCCACCAACCCGAGCATCATCTCGTGCGTCTCGTCCGACTCACACCTCCGCATCTTCGACCTGCGCACCCCGGTCTCGGCCAAGTACCACCTCGTCTCGCTCATCCCGGTGCACGGGGTCCCCGAGCCACAACAACCACCGCCGGTGCTCTCTAACGGCGAGCGGTTCCTGTCGCAGCCCTCCGAGGTCCTGACGCACGACTGGAACAAGTACCGCGACACGGTGGTGGCGACGGGCGGCGTCGACCGACACGTGCGCGTGCTGGACGTGCGCAACCCGCGCGGCGGGCCCCTCTCGGTCCTACTGGGCCACGAGTACGCGGTGCGCCGGCTCGCCTGGAGCCCCAACGCCAGCGACGTCTTGGCCAGCGCCAGCTACGACATGACGGTGCGAGTGTGGTCCGACGGCCTGATGATGCCGAATGCGCCTCCTCCGCCGCTGCCGGAACAGAAACCGCCCGTCATCGCCATGGGCACTCAGCTCGGCGTCATGAACCGTCACTCCGAGTTCGCCACGGGCGTCGATTGGTGTCTGTTTGGCACGGGCGGCTGGCTCGCCTCGGCCGGCTGGGACCAGCGGGTACTGGTTTGGGATGCGCATACCTTGCTGCGTGGCTGATCTCTGTCCTCCAAAGAGTACTGTTGCTTTTTCTCGTACTGGCTTGCTTTGACTTGTCCGTTTTGGGTGGTAGCCCAAGAGGGGAAGATTTTGGAAACCATATCATGCAGGGTTATGGCCCTGTACACAAAACAAATCAAGTATTGCTTCTGGGCGAACACCGGAAAGTGTCTGTCAGTGGGATGGGCTTGAAGATAGTTACGGCACAAGGAGGTGGTTCACGGAAGGCGCGTGGCGCGACTGGTTGATTCATCAACTGGCCGCCTCTCCGTTGGACGCTGGAGGCAACCTGCGCAGGAGTACCTACATAGGCGGATCATCAAGGGAGCCCGGCGTTACAGGAGGCGATGGCATTGAATGCTTTTTTGCGGAGCTTTTCTGGTGGTCTTCTGGCTCAAGGAAATCTGGTACTCAGAGTGTCAATCCTTCACTTCGGATTGTCCTCAGGAAGCGAACCTGTAGGTATGTACTGATGCTCTTGCTCATCACGATAGTGGTCAAGAGCAGTTTCAAACACAACACACTCATTACACTCCATCTTACACTATTTAGTACTAGGATATGATACCGGTGGGACACAAGCAGAAACCCGGTGTACATGTACATACAAGAAAGCTTGATAGAGGTGAGATCCGTCCAGTTTCCCACGCAATGGCCCAGCCAAGCCGAGAAATAATCTTCCCTGGGCCTGGCAGATAAAACAGCTGACAAAGACATGATAGCCCAATTCTAAACCCGAGCCGGCCAACTCCGTAGACAATGATATATACAGCGCATTTATCTCGCCCCCGTTCCTTTTTTGGCCATTACTTCCGCTTTTGCACACCTTGCGCTACCGTCCCCTCTTTCCGTCTCGAGAGGAGCAAGAGCCAAGATCTTCTATCATACAAGTTACAGCGCCCGAGCAGGGCGTCGGCGGATGTTCGAAAAGAACGAACATGAGGAGGTCCGATGCCCATGAATTCAATAAGGCCTTAAAAGGTCGCGGATGGGGCGCGCCGGCTTCGCCCCCTCTGCTCACTGCTTCGCTCGAGCACGGAGAAGCTGTCCCTGTCCCTTCGGGGCCCGCGGGAGTTGCGATGTGCCCGGTCGCCGAACCCTCCGCGGTCGTCGAAACCCCTGCGGTCGTCGAAACCTCCGCGGTCGCCGAAACCGGAACGTCGGCGGCGCTCCGCAATCCGCAGGAGACCGGGCTTGTAATGCGCCGCGGCAGTAGGGCTGACAGCGGGCGGCTCCTCCATCCCCCAGGAGTACATGGCCATCCTGTTGATCTCGTTCACTAGGGTCTCCTTATCCATGCCCCTGCTGGCGCCTCCAAGGAACGCGGCATACATGCTTTGAAGAACATCGTACGGTTGCTTCTTTGAGGCTTCCAAAACCTCGGCAAAGGTTTGTGGAAGATCCTCCAGGTTGGTAACCTGGAACGTGGCGCTTTCAAAATCCTTGACCCGCTGAATGGGTAACCCCGGAAGCCGTTCCCTCGCCCCTTGGACTTCAGCATCGGAAACTAGGAGATAGGCTTGGCCTTCCTTGCCAGCTCGCCCGGTCCGCCCGATACGATGAATGTAGTGGTCCCGGTCGTTGGGAAGGTGTACTTGGATAACGTGAGTCACATTGGGGAAGTCCATACCTCTGGCCGTGACGTCAGATGAGAAAAGGATGCCGCTCTCCATGTTCTTGAACTGACTGGCATTGCGGGTGCGCTCATTTTGGGTGAGCTTAGAATGAATGTCCAAGACAGTGGGGATCAGGCTGTCATTGTACTTGATGCGGCGGAAGATGGACGAGTAGGCAACGACGGACGCAGTGGTGGGCAGGAAAACGATGGCTTTGAAGGGGCGCTGCGAGGAGTCCTCAAGAGTTTTCCGAACATCGCGACGGATCAGCTCCAGCAACGTTGGAGCAAGGTTCTCAAAGCCGCGGCATGGGACAATGAACTGCGGTACCCTCTCGTGCGTCGGGGCTTCGTCTGACCTGATCGTTTGAACAAACTCGAAGTTGGTAGGGTCGACAAATTTACGAGCCAGTCCAACAACGTTCTTGGGCATGGTGGCTGAGTAAAGAAGGGTCTGGCGGGGAACTTCAGCACGGTTGGGGAGGAACGAGAGGATTTCGTTGAGTTCCCTCTCGAATCCCACGTCCAGCATCCGATCCGCCTCATCCAGCACCAGCGCCGAAAGGTTGGGGCAATCGATTCCGGTTGTTGCATCTGAGAGGATATCGGCCAGACGACCTGGTGTGGCGACCAGCAAGTGGCAGCCCTCCCGTTGCGTCTTGCGCAACATCTGGTTTCTCTGCGTACCGCCAACAGCGGTCTGGACAATGACTCCAGTTCCCGCGCAGAGGTTTCTTGCTTCTACGCCAATCTGTTCGGCCAGCTCGCGAGTCGGTGACAGGATAACGGCGCGGATGTCATCGGAGCGCGCCCGCATCCTGCCCCGGTGCGCGAGATCTGGCTGATCGTTGATGATCCTTTGGATGATGGGAATCAAAAAGGCCAGCGTCTTGCCGGTACCCGTCTTTGCCTGCGCGACACTGTAGTAGGACTGTTAAGCATTCTTGCATGGGTTGCACAAGGGACAGGAACTTCAACCTACACATCTTTCCCGGCAAGCGCAGGTTTGATGGTCTTGGATTGCACATCGGTCATTGTCTCGTATTTCATGCCCTGAGTAATGGCATTGACAAGCTGAGAGTCCACACCGAGGGATGCAAGGTCGTCGAAACGAGTGACGAGCTTAGGGGCGGCCTCTTCCGAAGGGGCGGGGGCCGCAGACTCGCTGGAGTAGAAGCGGAGCAAGGAGCCCACTGGGCGGCATGAGGCCGCAACGCTCCGGACGGGGAGGGAGCGGCCGAGGGCTGCCGACGATGATCTGAATGCAATCTGGGCAGGGCGTGCAGCGAGCGCGACGCGACACACGGCCGCGTGGCGCAACAGGCCGGTCTTCATCATGGCGACTGCGTGAGATTTGGCGCGCCCAATTGTATTGATTGACACTCAGTAATCGAGTTGGCAGCGAGTGTCAAGATTCCACGAAAGATTGGGCGTCGCCGTTGATCAGACACGATTGCGTTCTCTGGGAGTGTCGACCTTTTGGGTTTTGTCTAGACAAGCAGAAGAAACGGCAGCAAGAAAAATTTCAGCGCTAGGATTGAGTTGGTCGCAGGGGTCCTTATCTTATCGGATAAGAAATGATTACGCTAGTGTAACACTGTACATAGCCTACAGTACCGGTATTCGTACGTTACATGGTTACACTACACTTAATACACTAGATTATCGTGGGCCCAGTGCCCACAGCATCTCGACTTTCCAGCATCCAAATTCCCTGCCAAAGACAACGCGGCTCAGAGGACGGAGACCAAGCTTTCGTCCAACCCAGTTGTGGATTTCCTTCACTTTTTCAAACCAATTCAAGATACCCCAAGTACTATTACGCTGAGTGAATACCGTCTAATCCCAGAGAAAAAATCCCTAACATGAGAAGGAGCGTGACCCTTGGGCTAGATTGTCAGCCTCTACTGTATTGCTCCTGTTCTTGTTCCCACATCCACCCCGGCTCAGCTTGCTTCTCGGTGAACTCTTGAAGGGCGCCGTAGACGCCTTCCGAGATGTACTCGAAGGCCTGAGACAGAAGCCGGCCTGGCATGCTGTCGATGGCCCAGCGGAAAACTTGGCACAGCCGTCGGATGGCCATGGCCAATGAGCGTGTGCAGTACTTGTGTTGTGTCTCCAGCCGGATCGCCTTGGCGCCCACGTTCACAACCTGCGGTCCCATCCAGGCAATCAGCGCGGACATGAATCCGAGCAAGCAAAGGGCAAAAGTGTGCACCCAGTTGCGGTTCCTGGGCGAGTCTGCCGCCTGCGGCTCGCCTCCCTTGATAGGGCGAGACGTTGATGCCGCCATGTTTGGGGGCAGTGCGCGACGCAGCATGGCTACCTCGGCGGGCTCGAGGTCCCGCGGAAGACCCCGGAGTACGTGTTGAGCGCCATGAATGTAAGCCGCACGCTCGAACTCCGGGTTGTAGTCCTCGTTCGGTCTGCCGATGTACTCGCGGCCCGAGTTCAAGATGAGCTCGAGACCTACGGGCCATGGTCATTGATTGGTCAGTTCCGTGGTGATGCTGCTGGTGGGTGGGGCCGCAAACCTTGACTGCCGGATTTCCAGTTTACCCCCGACGATTCATCAGGCACCTGTGCCCACATCACGGCTGCATCGGCAACCTTGGAGGCGAACCATTTCCCTCCGTTGAAGGCGGTAATAATAGCAGTGTGTCTGTCAGGAATGGCCTGCCGGTCCCGTCCTTGGGTGGCCACCATGTCTGTCTGGTCGGCCGATGCCGATACCGCTTGGCGCCCCTCAACAGGCCGCTTCGGCCCCGCCGTACGGCATGCCGGCTTCGGCTCGCGGCTTGCGGACTTCAGACGAGAGCGCCCCTGAGAGAAGGGCGCGGGAAGCACCGAAGAGACCAGATTGCGAACGGTCCGCCATTGGGTGAGCTCGACTTCCTCGTCGGTAAGAAAGTATGTGTTACTCATGGCTGAGCCGTCTCCCCTCGAGGCCGTATGAGAGCTCGCAGCTTGACAATATGTGTCTTGCCAGAACGGGACTGCTTCATTGTAGCAGGTCACTGGGGGTGCAAGGTGGGATGGGGAGGAAGGCGCTGCGCACTCGGACACAACCGAGACAACCCACACTATGGCACGGCTGTTACTTAACCTCTAGCTGCATGAAATAGTAGAGAGGCGGGGACATGCGTCGGCAGTAGCGCTGACAAGTCGAGATTCAGTCCAGACGGGACTTCTAGAATGTCTCGGGCACTCAGCCTTTGAAATTACAGGGGCAAACCGTTACGTGGAGGGAGTTCTTCTCTTTTCCCGTCATGGTGCCTCTATAAGAAAGGAATGTAAAATGCGTGTTCTTTGGCAACACAACCACGTCAGTCACTCTGTTTCCAAACAGTCATCGTCTGGGCATGTTTGTGCGTGCCTCATCATAGCACAAGCGGAGCAATGCGATGATCGCCCAAGCATGTGAAAGCGAGACAGAGCGCTTATCTTATCTTGAGCTTACGGAGTATCAAAGAGGCTTGAAAGGAGCTGATCGGCTGGTGGGGTTTCGAGGCTATCAAGAAGAGTATCTAGAGGGGCCGGGAGATCTAAACCCTCATCCATCTTGTTTTTCTCGAGAGGTTTGACAGAATGCATATAATAATGCTGTGAAATGCTTTTGATGCCTAGGTGAATTACGCACCCATCTAGCCCTGGGGAAGTAAGGTATGTTAAGAGGTGGAGGACTTACTTCGTAATGCAGCTATATCTGTAGCTGAGGCCGCGTTTGCGTATCTCATCTACAGTACCAAGCTGAAATTGAGGCACACAGACGGACTGCTAATCCACACAATCCTTGCCGCCGGTGCATTCCAGGTCGAGAAGAGATGAGTTTACATGAAGCCATAGTGAATGTTATTGTTCTATTTGTAAACATTCCTGCATACATCAGGCGGCGCATGCTGGCCGAGACATTCCCGCTCACGAGCCGCTGCGACGCCTGTTGCCAGCCCATGTAAACTGTAAAGGCCTCTTTGTGACAACTAACTTGTTTGACCCATATGTAGCTCGCGCTGCCGAAGATAAAACAACGTACACATGCAGCTCCCTTATTGTGAACAAGTCTCTCCAGAAGTAGAAGCCAGTCTGGTATTCATACCGGAAAACTAACCTCTCAACTAGCCCCGGCAGCCTTCTCGGCGGCAATCTTGGCCTCCATCTTCCTCCTTGCCTCGAGGATCATCTGGTCCCTCCGCTTCTGCAACAGCGACTGTCTCTCCTCCTTGTTTGTGCTCCAGCCTTTGCCAGTCCCCTTCGCGCTCGCCCCAGCCGCGCTGCTCTCGGATTCCTCCGGGGGCGCCTTCAGCTTATCCGCCAGGTTATACCGCGTAATAAGATCCGGTTCAGCGGGTTTATCAGCAGGCTTGGATGCCTGCGCGGCGGATTCCCGCCCATTAGTGTTGGTAGCATTGGGAGGCGGAGGCGGCTGAAATGTTACCGGGGGCTGCGAGGCATGTAACCGATTAGCTAGCTGTAACAAGAAAAAAAAGGAGATAAAAACCTGAACCAAGGGGGTAAAAACCCACCGTCTCCAAACGCCCCATCAAAATCCTCTCCGTCGTGGCGGCAATGTTGCCCCCCGTGCGCTGCAGATCCCACAGCACCGTCCGCCTCTCCACCTGCGGAAACATTTGCATGATCCTCTCGGCCGCCGCCTCCCTGGACCTCATGAGCGCCGCCGCCGCCTGCTCATTCCCGCCCCGTCTTGTCGACGTTGAGCCCCCGTTTGAGGACGGCCCGCCGGCCGGAGAAAAGAAAAGGTACCGTATAATGAGCCCTGACACGACCAGTATCACCAACAGCGATGGGACATTGATCTGTTGTTGCAGCTGATCATCGTGTTCGTTCGCCATGGCGGGTTTTGACCAACACACAGCACAGCCAACTAATCCCGGACTGTCCGACTAATCCGAACGATTTGATCGACCAAAGCGTTGTGCCGCCGCGGATACGTTTCTGGCTTTTGCTTCGGTTCTGCTGTAGGGAGACCAAGCTCTTTGAGCGGTCACGCCGCCCGGGTCCGCCCGGGTTTTCCGAGCTGATGAGCTATCAGGATCAAGCGGCGCTTTGACTATTGCACCCAAGCGAAATAGACAAGTTGCTCCCTGGTGACTGCTACTAGGTTTGCGTGGCGGTGATTCGGGCGACGGATCCCGTTATCCGTGCCTGCCGGTCCAGAGGTGAGTGGAGGCAACGGTTGTGTTGCCTTTTGCTCAACACCTTAACCCTCGCTCGCGAACGATATATTTTCTTGGACGAGGATGCGCAATTTTGTCAGACGGGAAGATATAGTCTTTGGTAGCTGGTGCAAAAGAGAAAGAGGGCATGGGAACGGATGCCAGGGAGTTTGTCGGAGTCACGAGGGATTGGATGGTTCATTCGATGGGATGTTGCTGGTTTCGGTGGAGTTCCAAGAGATCCGAGCTGTGCCAAGACATTAAGTACTTCGTACCTTCCGCCCCTTTGACTCTTCGAGTGGTGGCCTCATCAAGCCACGTTACGCCCCACGCGGAAGAGTGACACCGCAAATTCCCCAGATTGCAAGCAGCATTCACCGAGTCAGAACTCAGAACCGCCAGAGATGGAGAAAGAACTATCATTCCGAGTTGCCTAGACCATCCACTTACTAGCTCTCTTCGAGCAGGCCTCGGTTGGTGAAATAAAGAAGGACTACCTATAATTCGGAGTTGCCCAAACCCTTCGCTCCAGAGCTCCATAGCTCACTTTGGGAGCTCACTTCGGGTAGGCCTCGTTGGTAGCCCTGTACATCACTCCGTACATACGCACATGATAGAATCCCAACAACATGTCTGTGGCGTGTGCAGAGTCATAGTCGTGCATCCGTACCGGTCGCCATCCGGTCGCCACGTGATAGAATCCCAAACCTCGATATGTTTGGGGCGTGTGTAGAGTCATAGTCGTGCATCCGTTCGCCCATCTCGCTCCTTTGCTCGGGAGCTGGCACACTGGTTGTGTGTGCATCAGTACGCCCCTCAGGCTCCTATGCTGGGGAGCTGCGCACTGGTTGTGGTATCCAGATCCCCGTAATGTAAGGTCATCTCTCGCTGTTATGAGAATCATTAGCAAGTAGTCCTGCGTTCAGCACAAGGGCCCTCAACACATACCCGCTCCTTACGCCAGTTGGCGGTATCCCAGACGATGTAGTAGCCGCGCTCCGCAGTCGGACTCAGCGCTTGAGGAATCATGACATCGTCCTTCGTCAGCCACAGTTGCAGCTTCTTGTGCCATCGCCAGTTGCGGTTGTTCCTAAAACACATGTTAGCTGTGCGAAACCACAGCAGGAGCAATCTGCCAAACGGCACTACTCACAGTTCCACTGCTGCCAGGTGTTGCTTTATATCCCGGGGGCAGCTGTAGAAAATCCACATCAAGGTCTCTTCGTTGAAGCTAGATATCTTGTTTTCGATTGGCTGAACGTTCTTGACTTGGTAGCATTCTGGCAGTTGGAATTTCGGGATGGGCTGTCGCGGCGGCACGTCATCGAACAACGAGTAGATTTGCGTCGAAATCATCCTGAAAAACGTCAGCAAGACAATAAACGTCTCTCTTTCGCCTAGTAAGACATACTCTGATGACCGCATATCCAGACCCAGGGTCGATGGATCAATCCCACACGTGAGCGCGTTGTAGTCAGGGTAGTTGTTCATCAAGTGTCGAAGCCCTTTCAGACCGAACTTGTCGATGGGCGCCATTCCCTCCAACGGATCCTGTACCTGATTGCCCTGGTTTTTCTCCTCTTCCTTGCCTTTTGCCGCAGGCGCATCGTTCCCAATCGCACCAAGCGGGTTTCTGTTGCCAAGTGCATCCGCTGCCGACGTGAGTGATGTTATGCTGTCCTCACGATACCCTGCATGCTTCTGACGAGCCTCGTCCTCGCCGATTGGGCTCCGTAGGTCTTGGGGCCGTGCTATCGCAGCTTGAGAGCGAAGGTCTGCGGCACGTGAGGTCGCGGAAAGGGCATTTAGCAAGCCGTTGCCCGCCCGGTTCGTCTGCATGGCAGAACCCGAGCTCTGGCCACCAAAGCCCATACCTGACATTAGATTGCCCCCGCGCTCCTGGCCAATCTCGCCGTTCGCAGCCCGGTTAAGTGGCGGAAACTCGTCGGCAATCCCGGGCGGTCCCGGAGGTGCTTGGGAAGCATTGCTCTGGCTCCCATATCTTGACAGTCGCGATGGGAAAAAGTCGTCTTGCTGGGTTTGTTGCGATAGCGGAGTCCCTGTACCCCGGTGCAGCCCGCCAGCTAGGGCACGAGGACCTGTCCACATAGACGATTGGCCAACCGAGTTCTGCTGAGATGTATTGGACAATGATGGAAACTCCCTGGTAAAGATGCGGTCAGCAATGGCCTCATCTGCGCAAACATTTCCATGATACCCTTGGAAGCCGGTTGCATAAGCTCCTCGTCCACCTGGGTGTGCTCCTCGTCCGCTTGGGTGCCCTCCTCGTCCGTCTGGGTAAGCTCCTCGTCCTCCTGGGTGCGCTCCTCGCCCGCCTTGCTGTCCTCCTCGTCCACCTTGCTGTCCTCCTCGTCCGCCTCTACCGCCTCGACCTCCGCGCGAGGATCCGCGCCGGCCTTGGTAGTGGTAGGGTCGGTTTCCCCCGGGAGCCATTTTTGGCGACTCGGAAGGAAAAGAGATGAAGGCGATGCCAAGCAGAGAGTGTGACACGGGAAAATGGTCAAAATGTGAATGGAAAAGGCCACTTGGCTGGGGGATTGATCGCACACGTGTGCGGAAAGCGATTTCTGAAGTGCAGAAAGGTCGAGTCGCAACGACAAAAGAGAAAGAAATTCAGAAGAGTGAAGAGAAACTTACGAGGGGTCTAGTGGTGTCGCCGGCTGTGACCCGCTCAAGCTCTGCGCGAAACTTATATTTCCTCCTAATCGCCCGGCCGACCCGGGAGGCACGCTTGCGCTGCCTCCCATAGGTAGACCACCACCGAAATTCCACCCAGTACCGCCGTTGCCTACGGGCCCTGCTCGAGTCAGCCATCAGTTAGACCCCGAGCGAAGTGTACACCGCACCTAGCTTCCCATTAGGTAACCTGCTCGACACGGCACGGCCGGACTGTTGTTGTTGTTGCTGTTGGTTTCCAAACCCGCCGGGCATGCCGCGTAACGCCTGCGGGACAGCCCCTGAATATTCCCGTTCGTCAGCACACCTCGTTCCTGTGAGCGAGACGGTGGTGGGCGGAGAGGGAGGATGCGCAGAGACAATCTCCAACAGCCCACTGAGGGAGGCTAGAGGGAGCGAGCTTGGTTCTCCGGGAATTGCACAGAGCAGTCCATCGCAAGAGAATGTCCGACTCTTTCAGTGCCAGAGAGGTGTGGAGGAAGGCCACGGGCATCAGCAAAGCGACAGATGGGTTGTCGCAAGTATCGCCAAAGCCAGGGCATCGCGGCCAACCAAGCTCTCTGTCACTCAACGCCATCGCACCACATTCCATCAACAGCCAGGCCATTGGCAGACCGCTCAGTGGTTGTGTGAGGCAGTGGGGACGTCGGGACAGGTCATATCGTGGTTCGAGACGGGGGGTAGCAGCGGGGCACACGAAAGGCTTCGAACTCGAGAAGGGAAGGCGGACTGCCACCATACCTGGTCGATTCATCATTGAGCAGGTCGCGGATTATGAGTTATCGGTCGGATCGTTGATGGAGCAATGCGTCGTTCACGAGAGCCTCTGTCGTGAAAGAAGCCAAAGGTGGTTTAAGGAATATACGTTTGGCTGGTGAATCCACACTGGAGGTCGCTCGCGGTTAGGATTCGAGGCTGCGGCTGCAAACGCTTGGCCAACGATGGTGGGATCTGCAGATCACGCTAGCGTTAACAGGAAATGAGAAAGAAATCAGAAATGGTAAGCTTGCGAGGCTTGCTCTGGGGGAGCTGATGGATGTTCAGGGGTCCGTGCGCCCCCGTTACTGTGATAAGGCTAGCGTGGAGTGGAATATTTACATAGCGTACAGAGTAGCATGTGAGACACCATTTTACCGCTTCAGGGGCGGAATCATATGTCTGTGAGTTATCTTTGGTGAGATTCCCTTTATTCTATGCCCACTCATGCATCCTGTCCAACGCCTTGTCTGTGGTAAGAAGAATCAAGCCGAGGGGGCAACCCGGATGGCATCCTCAAGGCTTCGTTGGAAATCAAAATCCTCCAGATGCCGCCCGATTAGGATGAGCTTTCCAGGTTGTGGACTGTCTGATACAGGCTGCGGCGAGGTACTGTCGAATATGTCGAAGATCTCTCTTACCCCTTGGATGATCTTCTCTCTCCCACCACGAAGGTGGAAGCGCCCCTTTAATCGGTGGATCTCGAACGTTGGCCCAGTACCGGGTTTGTGGCCTGGAAGGGCGTTTTCCCAGAGAACCGAGCGCAGCCAGGCATCAACCGCCGACTGCTGGTCCGCTGTCAATTCTGGCAGGGGGATAGAAAGCGTCGATATGGTCTATCGAGGGTCAGCAATTCTGTGGCCGGGCAACGGTGACATGGACATTTCTTACTTTGTCGAGGTGGCTATGGCCAAGGGCCGGACGGTCGAGATTTTCCACCCTGTCATACGCGTGCAGGTCCAAGACAAAACCCTCCAAGTCCGGCACGACGCTCCGTGAGGTTACGAATATCTTGGCTAAGCCGTTGATGGACGCGACCCTGTCCCTCACTGCTTGCAGCTCCAGCTCGCTGACTAGATCAGATTTGTTGATAACGACAACGTCGGCATAGGAAATCTGCACATGGGCGGTTGTCATGATGGGTCCGTGGCCGTCGCTGTCCTCGTGGCCCTCTACTTTCCCCATGGGATCGTCGAGGCTGCGGATAATATTCTTGGCGTCAACCAGAGTCACAATGCCGTCCAGATAAATAGTGCTGCCGAGTCCATCGTCCATCCAGAACAGTGGAGCAAGATTCCCCGGGTCTGCGAGGCCTGTTGTTTCGAGAAGAATGTAATCGAACTTGCCCTTCTTCTCCATCAGTGACTCAATGGCGGCCACCCCCGTGTCTCTGCGACTCACGTTAACAAGGGCCGCTCCCGCCATCTGCAAGGCCATACGGAGCTCACTTAACAGAGCAGCAGATGCAACCGTTACCGACTTCCATCCACTCTTCGACGGACTCGCCATCCTTGTTGATGGTGAGCGACTTTTCAATGTCAAGTGCTAGTAACCGTGTTAGGCTCCTCTAAAAGGTAAGCCGAGACTAGAAAACTCAGAACTCACAGTCACCAAACTCTAGATGCATTCTCAGTTGTCAGTAAAATGTGGTCCAGAGTCGGTAGTTGGATGGAAACGGTCCCCTTACCGTTCATAATCACAGCGATCTTCTTGCCATGTTCGGCAGTAAGGATGTAGTTTAGAAGCGTTGTCTTGCCGGCCCCTAGGTATCCTGCACGTATTGTTCCATGTCAGACTGGGGTTAGTTAGAGAAGGGATGACGCCCGAGCAATGGAACGGACCTGTCACTATCGTAATGGGCACTTTTACTGGTTTTTCTTCGGCTTCTAGCTGGTCGCGAGTGCCAACAAGCTCAGGCGGCCCTTCTTCGTCATCCCAATCCATCTAGGTTTAGTTTTGTCTTCGCGCTGTTTATCCAGTTCCGTTGTCCCAAGTGAAAAAAAGGAGCTCTGTCTGGAGAAGATGGATCACTGCGGTCGTCACATGGAAACGCTTCACCCAAGTAGTCACGGATACGTAATCGGATACCTCCGTACCTTCACAGACATGCAAAGAGTGAGGCCAAGATTGCGGGGCAGCGTCACAGGTGTACTGTAAACAACACTGTGTTCACGTTCTGCATAAAATACTACGTGTACGGAGGTACCTAGTAGAGAGGCAATTCATCATGGCACTTAGATATGTAAATGCATCAGCCAGTGACCTGGGACTTGAACAGCAGGCTTATTTAGATTTTAGACTGATCTTTGAGATCGAAGTTCGTGCCTAAGGCAAGCCTCAAGCTCTGTTGGCACAATGTGTTAATCCAATGTGAAGCTAAGTACGGATTACCTAGGGATTGTATGTACAATACAAGCAGGACTACTGCTGTGTATGGAAGTAACATGGCCAGGGGCAGGGAGTCGGAAAGATTTCGGCTTCGGCGCGTTCGGACGCAGCGACCGGCAACTGGCGTAATATATACGTTGATGTGCTTCCATGTTGTGCAGTGTTCGGAGAGCATGCTGTAGTAGCAGAACCTAGGTGGCTTGACTGCCTGTCCCTTTTATTATCAACAGGGCCCTGGTTGTTCTTTTAGAAAAACAAATTTGAGCCGTATTTGATTCTCGACTTCAAAACTGGTATAACCACTAATTTAGGTCGATGTCTGATCATTGTAGATATTGAAGAGGCAGTTGCTATTCGTATTGGGTATACATACTTTAGGTATGGTTACGATTCTCCTGCGAAGTTTGTTAGATGGTAACATTGAACATTGATTGAACCCGGATCTTACCTTGGATCGGCGCTAACAACGTACTACCGGCAGGGGTAAAGCAGACGTTGGTCAGAGCTCTCTTCCACCGGAGCGGAAGGAACTCCCCACCATCAACCCGGTCCTCCTGCCTGCTACTGCCTACAACCAGAGAAAAGGCCCCAACATCCCAGTACTCACCACTGAGAGTCAAGTCGTGGATGGCGGCGCGTGATGCAATCTGTGGACGCCTGCGAACGACTCTGAAAACGTGAGAAATATCGCATCGTCAGAGTCGCCATGTCGCTGCCGCCGAGTTCCCCTAGGCTTCCCAGCCCACCGCCCCCGGCCGAGATCCAATTCGGGCCCAAGTCGCCGCTCATGGGCCCTGACGCAGCTCGCCAGGCAGCCCAGATCGAGCAGACAGCCTTCGACACGAATGCCAAACGGCGCATCCACCCAGGCACCAAAGCCGCCGACATGGCAGCCGGTCCGCCTCTCGTGGCGTTGCACGAGGTCCGCACTCGCTAGCTGTGCCTTGCAGTTTTTTTGCAGGAAGATTAGGCAAATGCTAACATGCGATACTGACAGCTCGACTCGGCCTTCCAGCTCCAGGAACATCTCGCTGCTCTGCACTACTACCACACGGCCAGCCACACATCGCCAATCACGCGCGAGACGGCCAAGCTGCTAGCAACCCCGCCATCGGGCATTGACAAGACGCTGTGGCTGTACGAGCTCTGCCGCTTCCTGATTGCGCAGTGCAACAGCCTGATCGTTGGCTTCCTGTTCGACGCTCCCCCATGCAGCGCGCAAACCTGCCCCGAGATGCGCGCCAGCGAGTGGCAGTTTCTGTGTGCCGTGCACGACGCGCCCAAGAACTGCTGCGCCATCGACTACTGCTGCCACACGCTCGACTGGGCCGCCAACGTCGTGACAAATCCCAAGATCTTCCCCAGCCGCTTTGTCGTCGACGCCCACGACAAGAACACGGCCCTCAAAAACCTGGTGAACGTGTTTCGCCGCCTGCACCGCATCTTTGCCCACGCATGGTTCCAACACCGCGGCGTCTTTTGGGCAGTCGAGAGTCAGACGGGCCTCTACGTCTTCTTCAAGACCGTGTGCGATGTCTACGACCTCCTCCCGGCCGAGAACTACAAGTTGCCGCCCGAGGCCGAAGGCCTGGACAGTTCCGTCGGGAATGGCTTGGGGGATGCTAGCTCAGAGAGGAGACAGTCGAACCAGCAGCAGCAACATATTCCACCCATCTCCATCGCCAAGCCGCCCGGCCAGCGCGCCGCCGACCTTGAGGATCCGTCCATGAGCAGGACCAACACGAGGAGGCACATTAAGAGCAGCCCCTCGACAGGAAGCGCAGTTCCGACGGTGCTCGAGGCCGACGAGGACGACGGGACGGACCTGTCCAGCCGGCTCGGCGCGATGCGCATCTCAGGAGCGCCGCCGCCCACAGCAGCAGCGGCGGCGGCGGCTGCCGACGAGGAACTGGAACTGGCCAGCATACCCGTCATAGTGGAGCACAAGTCCCTCCCGTCAGCCGAGCAGCCAACACGACCGTCTAGCGTGATTCCGCCCGTGCCTGCGGCGGAGAAGAGTGGAAAACCCGTGCACGAGCCGGCGCCCGTTGAGGCAGGGTCCTTGTCAGCGCAAGAAGCCGAGGCGGCAGTTGCCGAAGCCGGCTCAGACCCAGACATGAGACCCGCTGATTCTCAGGACGGGGCCGAATCCACGTCCAGATCCGAACCACCTGAGTCTCTTGCGCCCGAAGCCAAGTTTGAGGTCGAGACCAAAGCAGAAGCAGAGGCAGAAGCAGAGGCAGAGGCAAACCAAGAGGAAACGTACCCCGCCGGGCCGGCCGAGGCCCAGCAAGGTGCCGCCGAGCAGACAGTTCACAATGATTCAACTAAAGTGGCCTCCGTTGAGCAGGGCGAAGGTGACGAAAGCCAGACGGCCGCGTCCGGTTCGATTTCTCACGACCAGACAATGGCCCCAGTAGCAGAGAGATCCCCTCCCGCCCAAGACGTCTCAACCGTCGCCGCAACCGATGGGGAAGAACCGGCGCAAGTGACTCTTGCAGCAACAGAGGAGGCTGTGGAGGACCCTGCTGTTGGGACTGCGACTGCAATGTCCGACAGAGAGGGCGGCGTGGCGGCGGCCCAAGTGGAGGAACAGGAGAAGAAGGAGGATGAGGACGGGCAGAAGAAGGAAAAGAGTAGTGCTGACGACGATGATGATAAACAGAGTCAGAAGGAGACTGAGGATAGGGCAGATTAGGGCTCACTACCACCTCTTCTGGGTGAGGTGGGGGGTGTTGTTGCTCGCATCCTTCTCCTTGCCCTGCTTGTCCCATTCCTTCTTTTCCCCCTTTTGTGTATTCATCTGTTTCTTTTCTTCGCCCTCCCTATCCTTCCTCTCTTTGTCTAGCTGTATTAAATACCAGCCTTCATTTTCTGTATTTGCTTACTTGATTTGTATGACTACCATGACTTGGAGAGGACAAGATGGCTCCCGAGGGGAAGGAAACGCTTTGTCGGTTGCATAATTGCATCCTAAACGGAAAGGTCATGATTTATTTGCCTGCAATTGATATCTGTATAGTACAGTCGAGAAGAAATGCCTCTGAAAATGTCAAGAAATAATGCTCCGCTTGGTGCAAAAAGTGCGAAGCATCCGGCCATCGCCATGAGTGCTCCCATATACCGTATGCTTTCCACATATATCCTTTTCGTACGGCCTGGGTTGGTCGGTGTCTGCAATCTTCCTTTTCCCTTCCCATTTTCCATTACCCCTTTTTGCCTCTCCGTTCTCCGATTGCCCCGAAGCATCCATCCAGACCGGGTCAGCCGAATCAAGTTTTCAATCATGCTCTCGGATAAGGGGTATACCGGTATATATATCCCAACGATTCACTTTTGTGTAACGGGTAGTTGTATAGAGAATGTGTACTGAACATGCTGGTGAAGGTGCTGGTGGTCAACGAGTTTTAAGGACATGATAGGCTGGAGGAATAGAAATAGGGCCGAGTAATGTATGTTAGATAATACAAGAGACGAAGTGAAGTAGTGTAGAAAAAATCCTAGAAACATCGTACATGGGTGAAAATGAAAAAGCCAAAGTTCGGAGAATGCAAGAAGGAGGTTGCGTGGAGAACACGGCTGAGCAATGTCACCCCGGCGCTTGGTAATTAGTTTATGCACAATCCAAGCACATCTGCAAGCAGCTGTGCTCCGTTGCCATCAGTGAGACTGTCTGTTGGTAGACCTCATCAGGGTGGGCCAAGATGGTATGTCACTGTCAGTGACCGGCTGCTCTTTCGGGTGAATTGATACCGCGGAGAATAGCTGAAGCGGCCGAGGATTCTGAACGGATCAGTTCGTCCGATGTCTGCAGCTGATCTCCCGCCCGCCGCACGCATTCGTGCGTGGGTCTGGGTGTGGGGTAATAGAGGGGGTTTGCCAGCGTACAGTACAATCGTGGAGTGTACTGGAGTGTACGGAGTACAAGCGCCCAAAATGTGCCGAGGGGTTGTTTCAGAGATCCAAAACGGTCCAAGCCGCGGCCAAAGCGCCCATTCCCCCCTGCATTAGCATCAATATTCAACGTCGCAGGCCGCATGGTCGGGTCCCAGGAAATTGTCCAAGGACTGGAACCATGTGCGGCAAAGAGAGCCGCATCGTTCTCGGCCCAAACGTCGTCGACTCTTCCCGCGCTTTTGGGTATCCTTGAACTCACATCCAGCTCTTGACAGTCTCCATCTTTCAAACAGCCTGAACCCCGGCTTGTAAGCGCCCCGATGATCGAAACAATAGACTGGTGTCAAGGTGTCAAAATCGGAAAACCCCCACCAGGCTCCGTCCTTTGTAATTTCACTGCTCACCGGGCGTGCTTGATTGAGGAAAGCCGAAATCGGTGGGGTGCGTCGATTGTCAAATCACTTATCGCTCGGTCGGTCGGTTCAGGCCATCGTATCCTCCTCCTTCGCTCCACCACCCGAGTCATTGGCCCCGGAGCTTCCACCGACTGTCCCAATCCGCATCTTGGAAAATACTTGGCGAATTTGCTGCAGGCTCTCCTGCTGCGTCGACACGGCCATCGCGTTTCGCTCATCTGCAATGGCCCGTAGATTCTGAAGGAGCGGGGTGAAGCCCTCGTCGTTGGGCAGCCACCACCGGACACAGCTCTCGTCAGCAAAAAGCTCCGCCATGCGTGTACGCATCGTGCTGGTGGATATGTATCTGTGAGCGTGCGATACGCTTCCATTAGCCTCTGCCTTGCAATACGCGGTTAGGTAACCCGCAGCACTGGACACCTGACGCAAAGGCGTCCTCGGGCCAAGATTACCCCATCCGGATTGGAAAGGAAAACTCACCCCATCCTCTCGAGCAAGGCAAATTTTCTCCTGATCCACATGTAGCGCCTCGCTTCTCGTGGAACATAGAGAGCCGCTATTCCCAGGCAGGACTGCAGTATGATCAGGCTACCCGGTGGGCTGTCTTGCCATAATTCTACCATCTCCCAAATCTTGCACACTGAGTATGCATGCTCCGTCAATTTCTTCCGCATCTCCCCCGTGAGCTCCACAGCTGCTTGGCTCCCATGCATTAGCACAATCGAGTGGTATTCGCACATAAGGATGGTTGAGGCGAACAGTGGCGGCCGGAAGAGGACTGTGGGCGTAGACGGGTTGGCGACATCGTCTGTCTCAGGGCTCTGTATTTCTGGGGATTCCGACACGATAAACGCGGGATCGGTTAGGGCAGGATCCCAGCTCTCTTTCCAGTCCAGGAGGGCTTCCGACAACCTGCGATAGCTGGCAGTGTATTCGTCCTCGGTGATTTCTTGCTTTGCCCCTTTCGCATACAGCAACGCCATTTCCATCGTCGTCTGTCGAAGCCGCGCTTGGCAGGCCTCGATCTTCCAGCCCACGTTCTGAGGTTCTGCTGCCACCTTTGCATCATAGTATTCCACCGGCGCCGAATACCACTGGGAGGGCATTGTCGTACCGAAGCAGCCCATGATTCCAATAAAGACGTCGAACCTCGAAAACCACATGAGCGCCACACGGCCCACAGGTGTCTGCATTACCGTCTGCGGTGTGAAAAGCTGGGTGAGAACTTCGAAGGCGGCTTTTTGATGACCCATGACGTTAATCCAGTCGCCCAAATATTCCTTCCCAGGTTGTTAGCCTGCCCCAAGCCGCCCGTTACCAGACAGACGCAGTTACTTACCTCTATGGTGCCAAGTTGCAATATGGTAAACAAGGTTCCCACGCTATACTTCTCTTTCTTCTTCAAACAATCCAGCAGCAGGGTGACGCTGCGGCTGTAATATTGTAGGAAGTCATTGATCTTGCCGTTCGGATTTTTCAATGCGTGATGATATGCCGAAAAGCCTACCACGGCATAGAGCAGTGCTTCGTTCCGGATCGCTAAGCCGGTCAGACCTGTCTTGAAAAACTCATCCTCGTCATTCACCACCCCGTAATGATAGTTTGTGATGTTGTCGTAGAAGTAGCCGAGGTAGAACTGCAGCTCGTGTGGCAGGAATGTCCAGTCCGGGCGAGAAGATGTCAGCGGCGAATCGGTAAAATGCGAGCCGACAGGTGTGAGCGCGCTACTAGTCCCGGCTGACAACGACGGGGACGAGCTCTTGTTCCCGTCAAAAGAAGGCGTTTCGGACCCCTGTCGTGGCCCTGTCGTGACACGCTGGAGGCCGAATGAGGACGTCGTACTAGATCTCCGAAGGGGAAAGCTCGGGGCCGACGTCTGTGACGTCGCGCTTTGTGGTTCGTCTTCATCCTCATCCATAATAGGCTCTAGTTTGACGTCCTGCTCGGCTTCGTCATCGTCGTCACCGCGAGAAGAGCTCGGGCTAGCCTGCTGACTGGGCCCGGCTGAATCTTTCGAACTGCTACTTCCGGGTCCCTTTGGTGGCGGCGGCTCTGGGTAAACGCACTCTCTCTTTCCCTTCCTACATCCTGGGTTGGGTCAGCAAAGAGACCAGTTGCATTTGCACCCTTGCTTGGAACGTACTTTCGCAGATAGGATGGGTTTCATCGCACTGTTCTCAAGGTCAGAAAAGATCAAGCGATGAAGGTTATCTCTTAATACCTTGACACGACGACTGCGACAAGTGTAGCAACCGGATCTCGTACGGCGATGTTTAACGTGGTCGAGGCCCGGAGCAGATTTCCGCCTGCTTCTTTGCGCCTTGGGCGCATTGAACATAATCGGCTCTGGGAATCCTGTAAAGTAGCCTAGGCTTTGATAAGGATTGGAGCCCGGAGGTCCTCCAATCTGCAAGGGGTTCGGTTGAGCAAGCTGCCCAGAGCCATCAAGCTGGTTGCGGTGGGGGAAACCCCCGACCCCGGCCATCGAGGACAGGAAGTGATGGTAGTAGTCACTCATGATGACTGCCCGGGGGAAGCTGCGAGGCGAACGCTCGTCCAAGATAAATCCGCAAAGTGGCTCTCGGTGTATCTCGCGGCCTTGGGACGGGTTGGCCGTTGCAACATCTAGTGCCTATCGGGTAAGTTTAGGACGGTAGACTCGGGTGGAGGTAGGGTCGATGTGGTCTCGCCCCGAGAGCCGCCTTGCCATGCGGCTGACAAGTCAAGGGCCACGGGCAGCGGAGAGGTTTACTTTTCGCAGGGCAACGCCCAAGACTATGGGAACAGCTCACGGGTCTGCTCAATACGAAGGCCGCTCGAGACGGTGCTGATGAGAGAGAGGAAGCTCACCAAGCCCCGTTTGGTGTCGAGGAGGAGCCCGGACAGACAGCGACGTTATCGCATCAGGACCGTCGCGCAATCACTGCTTTGGAATGTCGACACTTGATGGATAGTTGCTTGTTAAGAGGCACAGATGGCGCAACCTCGGGCAGATAATGGGAATCTTGTATGATATCTGAGATTAAACGGATGCCGAACTGGCAGAAACGCGGAGGAAGGTTAGTGAACGAGTGAGCATGCAATGTGGAATATCCGGAATAGCACTGATTTGCTGGACCACGGCATAAACCAGGACCAAGGAGAGGCCAGGGGAGCTGCAGGTGGCAACCTTTGCTTGGGGTTTGGGGCGGCTGGTGAGAAAAAGGAGTGGGCGAGTGACTTACTGGAACAAGTATCTCCACTTCCGACAAAGCTTTTGGGAACCAGAAACTCGGCGCTTCTGGGCTGGTAGAGGTTGCTTGCTGGCAGGATGTGAGTTGCTGCTAGAGGTAGGCCGTTTATTGGTACGCCTTGGGCGTGCAGGAGGGGACGTTACCACCGTGACAGTGTTTAATGTTGGCTGGAGGATATACAGTCCACTCCCATTCCCTTCGAGGAGAAAGAGACAGGTACGCAATTGGGCTTCAACCCAACGACCACCTTGAGGTATTAACGGTGCCGACCAAAGCGAAATAGTGTGAGTGGTCTAGGGGAATGGTATCTCTGAATGATAGAAGCTTCTGATGAAGGGAATGCAAGGCAACTGTCGTCGGACGTCTATCTCTAGTCGCCAAGAGCGAGCGAGCAAGCCCGATGCGGGATGTTACTGTCTTGAAAAGAGCGTGGGATAGGGGATTGGTGCGTAGCACTCGACCACGCAAGACGGGTCCGGTCAAGGACATCCGCTATAAATGACCAGTTGCTGCCAGGATTTTCGGGCTATTAGGGGTTGATAATCTGCGGAAGGACTGTACTGGGCCGCACGAGCTGCTAGAAGGACCGGGATACTGCGCAGAAGTCGAGAGGAGGATGGGGCCAGTAGTTGGAGAATATGGCGGGCAAGCTTGGCTTGCTGGCCAAGAGATACTAGATGCTGCTCCGGAGCAAGGCCACAGAAAGCAGGAAGGTGGATGCCAAATATGTGTGTATGTACCGTAGTGTATTTGAGAGTACCTTACCCTTGAAGGGATCTAGGTAAAGGCAGGAGCGGGCGTGTGTGCTTGCTTGACTCGATCTTATTAGTCCATTGGCGCTAACGTTAAACCGAGAAGGTGAGTCCAACGGCCAGGGAAGGCATTTGGCCCCGGTCCAGCCCCAAGAGGCGTGCACGGTGGGGGAATGGGAGTCAGAAGGGTAACCCTGGTCCAGCCCATCACTGCTGGGCTTCTATCTGCCACATGTGAATCAAGCATTTCCCCGAGTCTTTGCCAATGATGTGAGTTCTTAAATTGAAGCTTGCGCCAGCTTGGGCAAAGGCGAGACACCCGGAAGGCTTGTTCTATGCGCATAGCTCCCGGACTCTGTATCTGGAAGTTCGAGTATCGTTTCGTCAAGCTTTAAACCCGTCCCTGACAATATGACAACACACGGCAAAGACTCTTCACCCACGCACAACCGGTTAGGGCTGGATTGGTGGATTGGTGGCTGGCTGGCTGGCTGCACGCTGGCTCTTCTTGCACGGGACTCGTCGCGGCCTTTCCTTCTCAACGGGCCTAGGCACCGCTGCGGTCAGGGTCTGAGTTATTAGTCGATCTTCCGCAGTTTGTGGAGGCGAAACTAGTGCGTGCTCTGGCCTGCCTCCTGCCCACGGTTCCGGCAGAAGGCGGCAGAAGTCTCTGCAGGTGCAACTTGGTTGACTAGGGGTTGCTGGAGCGTACCAAGCTCGAGCTGTCCAGCAAATCTCGTTCGGGACGACGCCCACTCGGCGCAACGCCGTAGGGATACCGCTCTAAACTCCACAGCTTGACCCGCGTTGGTGGGTCTCAAACGGGGTCTGGTATTCACGCGGATCCGTACGTCCAAGATTGCATTGATGAGTATGGGAGACAGCCGCAGGGGTGCTCGATATGTCTGACTTGTATTGTGTGACGATGAGCACTGAAAAATTATACGCTCGCCGCGCCTGCTTGACACCCGTACATAAGACCTGGTAGCATCCCTGTATGCAAAGTTTGATCAGCGGTGCTCCTCTGGGCAGTTCATCCGATGTCAACCTGTCTGTTGCTGAGGGCTGCAGGTGCCGGGTCGTTCTCGCCTGACTTTGGACGGCTGCTGTATTGTACTGTACGTATGTGCTAGGTAATACTGATTGTATGGAGGTACTAACCGATACATACATTAGTAATACGTACTGTACTGTACAATACCGCAAATACTCATCCGATTTGGAAATACAACGCTACTCCATCCAAGGCCAGGCTTGCCTTACTATTCGCCACATTGTGCCCTGCACTTCGCTTACGTACACACAGTCGGTATAGGTCACAGGCATGTTCAATCAGCCAAATTTGCTTACAGACAACATCAATCTCTCCCGAATCGACCGAGACCATCTTGACGCATTTGATAGGCGGATATCGCTTCAAGGACGCAGTCAAATTGAGTTTGAAAGGTGTAGGTAGACTGGGAAGTGAACTGGAAAAGGGTGTAGAATTAGGGTTAGGGCCCAGGTCTTGGACCTCATGGCTTCCTTTGTAGATACGCGACATGCAGCATGGGCACAATGTGGCCAATAGCAAGGCAAGCCTGGGCTGGATGAAGTAGCGTCGTATTTCCAAATCGGATGAGTATTTGCGGTAGTACTTAGGCGTTAGAGGTGGTGATGATAAACTTATGAACCAGGGGCCGCCAACCCCTGCCAACTTCAACAAGGCTTAAGCTCCCCGGCGGCGCTATCGCGGATGACCCCTGTCGGGTGCCTGGCTGAGACATGGCTCCGATCGCGCGACGGGCCACATGTGCGGCGACACATGGCGTCCCTGCTGCCTCCGCAAGCCAGTCGGTGTTAACATTTGTGAGTGGTCAGAGCTTGGAAAAGTATATGTTCTTGGTGCACGGCCATATACACTAGTGTAGAAAGCAGTGCCAGCTCCTGACGTTATCATGGTGTAGCATCGTCGGGTCCAGTATTGTACTGTATGTAATGTGCGGATACACATCTTTGCCATGCCAAGGCGCTGCACAGTGACAAGGAGTTGAAGACAACCCCATGCAATCTGGAAAACCCGCGAAGATCGGGCCTGCACTCCCAAAGGGTGCTGGGGTGCGCTTCGCCCGTTCGTGTTGTCCAGAAAGCGAAGCTGCTCCGTGGCAGTGGTGGAGACGGAATTCGAGATCAGGGTGCTGCCCTGTCGATCCGGTACTGTATTGTACATATTGTACATACGTGTACACATATGGATTGTGCAACCGCCCGCTGCCACATTGGCATGCAAGATGAGAAATGAGGAAGCAGAGAATCGTGCTGAGGATTATCAACGAATTACATACTAGTAGCTGTGTGTGTAGTGAGTTTTGTACGGCGTACTGTACTGCAAATACATTTCCCCTAGGAACTAAGGCAAGATAACGTTATATGTATGTACTCCGTACAGGTACCTATGTAAACTACGTGCAACACGCCTCCCTAGGGCGTGTTGCACGGACCTGCGGCTGCTACGTGAAAAACCGCGCTAGGATCATCATAAGCGGCGCAATCACAATGCCTTGCCTGGGCTTGCCATTTGATATCTTGAGATGTATACTCCGTAATTACATAGAGACTTATGGGGTGGAAGGTGACGGACGGGAACTCATACCGCAAGGAATCCATAGTTAATGCCACGCTACTGTAATCTTAAACTCATCAAACCCACTTAGATCCGGTGTTACTGGGCATGCTTTTGGTTGATGCTGCGTGAGCGAATGTTAGCAGGGTAGGTGGCTGGTTATGCTGTGATCCTGGGCGGAAACTCGATCTGGGAGATCGCCCGCGGCAGTATCCGAACGAATTACGCGGCCATAATATACGGGAATCTTCAACAAAGGGGTGTTGGCTTCGAACCGTGCTGCATCCAGGGATCTAGATATTGGTTTGGCGAAATTATTGAATTGATGTGTGAACCTACACTCGTCCCACGAGTTATAGCACTGAAGAGTCTGAACTCTGAAGCAAGGTAGAATTCGCAGCTGCCGCGGCCTCCATTGCCTTTCATGGTCAGTCGAAGAAAGATTGACTTGAAGAAATTCTCAGCGTATCCTGGCCAGCTTGGGTATCTAGTGTATCCATTACCCGGTTGCGGGCAACGCAAACATACCCTTCGTATGGTACACCTAGTTTATCCGTGATACACTAGTGTAAGTGCACGGATCTGGCAGTTGCTGCTGACACTCTATTTTAGAGAGAAGGAATCGATCAATCGAAGAAGTCTTGACGTCTTCTCTTCCATGGCCTCCACCGTTGTGGGTCTAGCCTTGTTCAATGTAGTGTGACAACCTGTGTGATGTGTCCGGGTGTGTAAAACTGGAAGGAGCTCCGAACCTCAAGTACTTGATTATAAGTCTAAGCATCCGTGCAATACCTAAGGTACCTTAGTTTCCACAATGAGTTATTTTACTGCGCCGTCTCTCCTCCCTTTTGCTTGCTATTAGGTCCTCTTTTCCTTCCCTTCTGGTGTCAACATTCTCCCTTTTTGCCTTTCCTCTTCCCAAACAGCATGGCTTTGCGTACCTTATGTCATATAGACCTTTAACACTGATAGGTGGACATTAGTTTGCCCGACGCGCCGTGCCTATTAATTCGCAAAGGAGTACTTGTATTTTACATACATACCTAAGTATCCAAGACGCTTTAGTACCGGCTCCTGCTTGGTCACAGTCCTCATACCTTCATTGGAAGCAGGCATCTCCGCTAGGTTACACACCTACCGTATTGGGACCATAGCTCCCGCAAGCTCCTCTACTTTATATCTTACCGAAATACTGGGACCTGACCCAGCCAGCCGGGTTTCTCTCGCCTCTCAAGCTAGGTGTTTTCGCAAGACGCCATGCAAAAATTGGTCAGAATTAATATTGGCTTTAGTGGGGAAGCCAAGTTTATGCAGTACGGGGCTCGCCGTAAAGTCACCTATCGGCGCAAGATCACAGGACTTGGATTGATGGGTGCTGTATAATTACCCGTATGGAAAAGCTCTAGCCAGGGCCCAATCTATCCCAACGGCCGGTGGAAGATCAGGGCACCGCACCGTTGATATCACCGGTTGGGCTGCAGGAGCTGTTGCTGGTCTCAGCCAATCTTTCTAGTGTACGGACCTAAGGGTGCACCACATCAAGGTACTGTATGATACAATACAATACATTACATACATATACAAGGACCCGTTGGGCTTCTGACTGCATGAACGCCACTCCCCACTTACACACGTTAGAAGCAACCAACTCTAAGAATGTGCTCCTACACACGTATGTAGTGCGGTCGCATGTCCCTACAATGGAATGATCATTACATAGCAGGGTCATGTATACTCATTAAGTCCGCAGCATAGCAGGGCCGTGCCGCGCGATGAAATGCTCGTTGTGTATGTACATACAAAGTTTTATAATGTCTCCTTTGTCATATAGCCTCATTTCGCATGTGAAATTTAGTGTTATATAACCATAGTACCTAAGGTACGTGATTACGGAATGACCAAAAAGAAATCTATTGCAGCCCCCAAGAATGCGGCAGGAATCGAGATTGCGTCACACCAAACCCATCCTCAGGGTCTCGTGGATAACCAGAATGCCGATGGCGTGATAATTGGACATTGGTCCAAGAAAAACACAAGAAGAAAGCAGCCGATTCCTAAGTATAATGTACGGCAGAACCCTGGCCTGGCAAAGACGGCTTGCCGGCTCCGGCCCCGCTGGATTTCGGGGCGCGTTCCCGGTGTACCGATTTGATGGCAACAGACGACGGCGGCGCTACGCACAGACACGACTCCCGATGCAGACCCGTGTAGACCCTACGGGATCGAAAGCCATTCTGCTGCGTCTTCTGAAGTGGGAGAAGAACGGCAGCAAATCGGGTCGGCGGGGTTAAAGCCAGTTTCTGCAGCCCTATGTCAGACTGCCGGGGAGAATGAGTGCTCTATCCGCCGGGAATTTCTGCGCACTCCCTAGTCTCCAATGGCCTAGGGTTTCAAGTTGACGAAGCAACTGAAGCTGTATGCACCATCTGGCAGCTTCTATTTTGGTGAACTCTCCCGTCACTGTCGATCGACAGGCAACATCACTGCTGCAGCACGGGTCGCATGATTTAATGGGGCGAGCTAATGATAAAACAGACTGCTGTACGGTACATTGTATTGTACATATGGTAAGTTTTCTTACATTGAGCGGCAGAGCTGCAGAATCGGTTTATGCACCTGGAGTGTACGGGCTACCGGTACGAAGTACTCTAATCAAAGGCATTGTGCTGCTGCAGCGGCTGATACATGACCGCGATACAAAACTAGCGTATGCGATCAAATCGGAGTTGATTCTGATGTACGGATACCGACTCGATGGGAAAGGTAAAGTTAAAGGGAAACCGTTAAGAAAAGAGAGAAAATATCCAAATGGGTCGCGAGCAATGGATGTATGTATTGTATTGACAGTACATACTCGTAAGCAAGGCAATCGATTTCCATTGGTCCCAGGTCTTTGGTAATTATGTAACGCTAGCGCTTAGTTCGATAGCTAACCGAAAAGTCATAGCCTCAGCTGGCCGCAGAAAACCACACAATTACAGTACTACTCCGTATTGCCGTACGACACAGCTCGGTTTGGGCACTACATCAGATATCTGCATACTCCGTACATACATAGATCCATTGAAGGCTGGCGGCTGCCCCATCTCCAGAGGCCCAAGTGAGTTAGGAAGCAGCATTGCAGCAGACGCCGACATATCGGCAATGGAGGTAATGGAGGGGGAAAGCATGGTGCTGCCAAGCGGCCCAGTTCTTGACGCTTCCAGCGCTTTTCTACTTCTCGTCACTGTCTTGGTCTTTCTCTTGCCTCTGTTCACCTACTTTCCGCCCGTTCCGCCTTCGCAGCGTGATGCGCTCCTTGAAACACATTCCCCAATCGGCCTGAAGCCTGGGGATTCCGGCCTACAGAGCAAGCAACGAGGCCATGTAGAGGCTAACGGTAGTTCTGCGAAGAGCATGAGCGGCGGGAAACTCAAAGCCCACTGCGAGATCCGCAGTCTCTGCATCTACCCCGTCAAGTCGTGCAAGGGCATTGAGGTTCGCCAGAGCAAGGTGCTGCCAACAGGCCTCGAGTTTGACCGTCTATACACGTTTGCGCAGCTCAAGAGCCCCTTTCCCCTCGGCGTGCAGGCCACCGACGAGGAAAAGGAGGCGCACAAGTGGGAATTTATCACCCAGCGGCAGTTCCCTCTGCTTGCTACCGTTCAGGTAGACCTCTACCTCCCCGACGCCATCAAGGCCAACGGACGCTCCACCAAGGTTTCTGATGCATTTCTTCTCGTCCGCTTCCCGTGGCAAGAACCCGGTCTGCGTGGGGCGTTGAGCTGGGTGGCCGCCAAGATCGCACGAGGCCGGCACGCGCAGCCGGAAAAGGAGTTGCTCTTGCCCGTTGCCTTCCCTCGGCCGGACGAAATCGAAGCCCGGGGCTATGCCTATGAGCAGGTCACCATCTGGCGGGAATCGGTCACGGCACTCAACATGGAGGCAGATCTGCCCCAAGAGCTTAGGCTCTACTTGGGCGTGAGTAACAGGCTCGGCATCTTTCGCATCGACCCGGACCGATTAAGACCCGTCTACCGCTGCGCACCGACCGTGGACGAGGCTGGCTACCAGCCAGTTACCGGCTTTCAGGATGCTGTGAGGATCATCACCGCCCCATCACCAATCTCCCTTCCCCGCACCCTGTTTCGAGAAATGGCTCGATCCCCCCTTCCTTGGCTCACCAGAGATCAACTAACATGGACATGTTGATCAAACAACGGACAGTATCCGCTGCATCTCTTGAACCTCTCTAGCGTTCGAGATTTGGATGGCAAAATTGACAAGGACGAAGCCATCCGGGACCTTGATCCTCGAAGATTTCGCGCCAACATCATAGGTGAGCTGTGTTGACATTGGGTGTCGGTGGGGAGCAACTGTCCCACTAAGATCCGACTGCAACCAACACCCCTAGCTTACCCCTGGATTACTGCCGTCATTATGGTTCCACAATGGCTGACACCCCTTCACAGTGGATAGCGGTGATACCCCTTACGATGAAGAAACCTGGAAGAAGATTCGGTTCACGCCCGGGCCTAGCAGCAAGCGCGGTGCCTCGACATTCCATGTGTCTTGCCGGACTGTCCGGTGAGTACCACCTCGGCGGGCGGAACGGAATTAGCCGCCCAAATCAGGATTGATTCCTCTCCCTGCTACTCCACAGAACTGACGCTTTGTCCCCTATCTACAGCTGCAAAATGCCCAACGTTGACCCAGATAATGGACATCGGCATGCAGTGGAGCCGGACAGGTCCCTGAGGAAGTATAGAGAGGTCGACGAGGGCGCCAGGCATAAAGGATGCCTCGGGATGCAACTCACGCCTTTATTTGACGAGACTGCCTCGCCCGAAGATATGGAAAGTTGGGTCGAGGTGGGAATGTGCGTCGAGGTGCTCGAGCAAGGTAGCCATTTCTATATTCCGCAGTAGACCAACTAGAGAGGGTAGCAGAGCGGACAAGCAGATAGAGCGCTGCGCACATCTAACAGGAATCGACTGGAACTCAAATGAAACACAGACCCCACCAGGCATAACACTCCTCAAGGGCATGATCCTCCATCCACGGTCGTAACAAAATCTTTCGTCATCGTGGTCCATCAAGGAAAGAGAAAACCCACAGCTTGGAATCGCAAGCTTGCGACACGGGAAAAGGACATTGACCAGACGCCTGAATAACCTAGCCGACCACCATTGCACAGCAGAGCATCCAAGACCCCGACAACCACAGCCACAACAATATCAATGACCGGGTGTACACCTAGCCAGCCACTTGAGCGCCTGCCCAACACCCCTCCCAAATACCCGCCAGTATACATACCACCAGAGACAAACCCAGATACAAACCGATGAACAAGACAACCCACCGCCTAGGGAGGAAAACACGTCACTTCAAATCGGCCGGCGTCAAAGCCTGAACCATGCTGGTGCCCTCGCTGAAGCGGGTCCTAAAGATGCGGTTGGCGTTCTGGAACATGCCGTCCTTGAGCGAGACGACAATGAACTGGGAGCCCTTGAAGCGCGTCTTGATGAGGCGGCCAATGTTTTGCGTGTGCGACAGGTCCAGCGCCGCGTCCACCTCGTCCAGGATGTACATGGGCGCCGGCTTGAACTGGAGGAGGGCCATGATGAGCGAGAGGGCGATTAGGGAGCTAACCAAAGACAAGATTAGCGAGTTAGTTGGATAGATGGAAAATAATCAACAGAAAAAGGGGTGGAGGGAAAAGGAGGGAAAACGAACCGTTGGCCACCGCTCAGCTCCGTCAGGCTCTGTTTCCACACCTTGCCCAGGCAGACCTTGACCTCAAGCCCGTCGCTGATGGTCTTGCCCTCGGGGGGGTCCAGCTTCGCGAAGCTCCCCGGGAGCAGCTCGTTAAAGATCTGGCCGAAATCGGCATTCACCTTCTCCCACGTCTCGTGCAGCGCCTTCTTCTTGTAGTCGTCGAGGCTCACAATGGTCTCCTCAATCTTGCGCTTGTCGCGGATGACCGTCTTCATCATGTGCTTGAGCGACACCTCCTTCTTCTCGACGCTGTCAATCATGTTCATGACCTTTGGGTTGATCTTTTTGCGCAGTCCCTGGCTGCGCTCCGTCAGGTTGCGCAGCGTCGCGTTGCACTCGGCAATGTTTTGGCCCTTGAAGTCGTAGGGCGTGCCGCTGCGGCCGAACTGGTCCTTTGCGTCGGCGATCCAGTCGTGGTCCTTCTCCAGCTTGGCCGCCGCCTCGGCAATGTTCTGCTGCTCCTTGTGGAATTTCTCGATCTGGTGGCCGATCTTCTGCTTCTCGAGCCCTTCCTCGGTGATGCGCGCGTTCTTGGACCGAATGGCTTCTTCGAGAGCGCGCAGCTCGTCGTCATAGACGTGCAGCTTCTTGCGTTCCTCGTCGAGCTGCGCCTGCGCCGCGTCGTGCGTCTCCTTGACCTTGTTCTGCTCCCCGAGCAAATCCTCAATCTCTTGTTGCTGCGCCTTGAGGGTAAGGTCAATCTCCTGGAGCTGCTCCCGCGCCGCAGAAAGGTCGCCCGAGACTTGTTCCGAGTCGAGTTGCGCCCCCTGGAGCTCTTTCTGCAGCGCCTTGTTTGACGAGCTCATCTTCTCGAGGGAAGCCCGGAGCTTGTCAACCGAAGCTTGGAGTTCGATTAGCTTAGCGTCTTTGTTGTTGTCAAAATCCTTCATGTCCTTCTCGATTCTTTTCACATCGGCATTCGCCTCCGCCTGTCGATTCTTTGCATCCACGACTGATTGTTTGAGCTGCGCGATCGTCTCCTTCATGGTCGCAACCTCCTGGATAATAGACGACGATGAGTTGCCGCTGATCTGCTCCTCAGCAAGCTTGATCTCGTGTGCCTTGAGGTCAAGCTCTTGCTTTATCCTCTTGGCCTGGTCGAGCTTCGACTTCTCACGCGCAATGTGGGATTGGAGCTGACCGAGCGATGCTTCCGCTTCTCTCAGCTGCCTTGTGATCTCGTTGAGCTTTTGTAGCGTAACTAGGACACCGCTCGAATTGGGAGTACTGCCGCCGGAGAGTGTGCCCGAAGGATCGTAGGCATCGCCTTCCAGCGTAATGCTCCGCATCCTCACGTTAGGATCGAAGGTCACCCTCTTGGCCGTCTCGGCATCCGCGCAAATCAGGGTATTGCCGAACACATACTCCATAGCCGCCGAGACTTCCTCGTCGTAGCCGACAAGCGATAGAGCCAAGTCGACTTTCCCGGGGGCGATTCTCTGAGCAGTGGCAATTGTCTGCGCTGAAGCCTTGAAGGCTGCAATTTTGTTTAAGGGGATGATGGTCACACGCTTCCGAAGCTTTCCCCCCTGCAACAGTTGCGTGCCGGTGACTTCGGTGTCCACGACGACGTTGTATAGTCTCCCTCCGGCGCAAATCTCGAGCGCTGTGCCGGCTTTCGTGAACTGCTTGTCCAAAGTGAAGAGTTGCGCCACCAAACCTTTGACCTTTGACCTGTCGAAGTTGGGGACGGGGTCGGCGTAGTTGAAATCGATATTGGCAACCCTGCGCTTGAGGCCGTCGGCTTCCTGTCGCAGATTTCGGATGGTCTGCTGCAGCGCACTCTCTTGCTTGTACATCTCCTCCTCCGTACCCGGCTGGAAGCCAAGTTTGCCCAGTTCCTTCTCCAGTTTCTGAGCCTGGGATCTCAGACCCTCGAGATCTTTGAGGAGGTCAGCATTCTGCTCCTTTGCTTTTCTTGCCCGTGGCTCTTCTTCCTTTATCCGCTTCTCAAGATGAGCAATCTTGATCTTTGCCTGCTCCTGCTCCGTTACCGCAGCCGTAGCTCGGTTCCTTGCGTCTTGCAGCTGTCCTTGATATCCGTTTTCTTGGCCTTCCTTGGATGCAACACCGGTTTGTAGGGTTTGGAGCAGCTCCTCCTTTGATTCCGCCTCTTGACTCTGTTTCTCGGCGGCCTCTTTCGCAGCGTCATACTTTGCCTTAATCTTCTCATATGTCTTCGTCTTTTCCTGGAGACTTGCTTCTAATTCGGCAACCGTCTTCTCGCACGCTTTCCTCCGCTCCTGCTCCTCGGACATGCTGCTGCGCTTAAGATCTATTACAGTGGCAAGACGGACAAGCTCGTTGGAGTGTTTTTTTACAGCGTCCTCGAGTGCTTGAGCCTTGCCCCCCTTGCGCAGTTCCTTGTCGCGCTGCGCCTTGATCTTTTGCAGGTCCTCCTCGAGATGAGATATTTCACTCTTTAGCCGCGCTGCGGATTCCTCCAGGTCTTTCTGGCGCTGCTTCTTTGCCTCGAGGTCCGAGGCCGACTCCTTCAGCCTCTCCTGGTAGTGGACGTACTTGTATGCCACTACGATTCTGGTCAAGCGCTCGAGATCGTTTTGAGTCTGTTGGAAGTCGAGAAAGGCGCGTTTCTCGGTTCGTAGCTTCTCAAGCTTTGGCTCAATTTCGTCGCGCAGCAGCTCCGTGATCTCCTGAAGCTTCATCTCCTTCTTTGCCATTGTTTTGAGAGCCTTGTCCCTCCGATCCTCAAACATCCTCGTGCCGGCTGCCTCTTCGATCATGGCGAGAATCTCGACCGCTTTCATGTTCAAGACCTTGGTAATGCGACCTTGCATAATCAGGAAGTTGGGGTTGTTGATGTTCAGCTGGACCGACTGGAACAGGTTCTGCACTGTCTGCTGCTGCGCGCGATGGCCATTGATCAGATATTTGGTGGTACCGCCCAGCACAATCTGGCGTGTCACACTAATTGTGGCATACTCCTCGAACCCGATCGGCGACCGCTTCTTGTCTCTGTTGTCGAAGACGATGGTGACGCTCGCTTTAGTGACGCCGGCTTGGCCGCGCTTGTAGATTAGGTCCTGCCGACGGCATCAGCAAGCAAAGCGCTAGATAGACAAGATAGTGCTGTGCCTGTCTCCCACCTGTAGATTCTGCGCGCGGACCGTAGACATATTTGTAATGCCCAGCACGAAACATATGGCGTCCAAGATGTTGGACTTGCCGCTGCCGTTGAGGCCCGTGATGGAGTTGAAGCTCTCGTCCCTGTAAATGACGTTTAGTGCTTGCCTAGCGACCAGTCATGAGCCAGCAAACTCAATTACCATCCTGATATCACCGTCCGAACGGCATACGACTTGAAGCCCTGTGACATCTGGGTTAGCTGCCTGGAGCCGAAAGATCCCGAGATGGCCGTGTTTGACTCGGTGAAGACGTACGTCGATAATCAGTTCCGTGACCCTCATTACGCTGTTGTCGGTCTATCCCCGTTCTCTTGGTGGGCTTTCGATGGGGAAATCGGACTGGCGCGCAGAGTCGCAAAACCAGTTCAAGATACGCGACGACCCTCCTTTAGCAAATTGTAGTTATTTGTTTACTTTTGTTAGGTTGTCACCCCGCAGCACGTTGGCACGTGCGCCGCCGCTGCGCGACCAAAATCATCAAATGAGCACCAACTTGGTGAAAATACTATAGGTACGGTTGTACTGTACCTCGTAAGTTACACAAACTTGTGTATCTTACAGTACAGCGGGTAAATTACTTCAGCATCGTCCTTCGCGGTCATTGGCAACCCAAGTTGAACCGATCAGCCTGCAGGGATCCGTAGCCCACAAGGGCGCCACAGCCGCGCGTTGCACCCAACCAAGCCAAGAGTTCAGAAGGAAGGGATACGTCGTCAGACTCTCAATTCAAGAACTCCCGTCATGAACTTGCCTAACCCGCATCTGTGTTCGAATGTATTATGTCGACGGTGGTCCAATCCGCGTTTGGAAATCATTCTTTCGATGCACCCGCAACACATTTGGATCGTTTAACCGATTGGATTTTTCGGTTGCTGTAATATACATAGGTACGGATACATACGCTACGGTTGCTTGTTGCGCCATTCTTAGTTGGAAGTTGCCGCCAAGTTGGAGCCTCGAAGCAATCGGAAGGGCAGCGCGAAACCGTCCAACGCCCTGCGCGGCTTATCTCGTATAAACCGGATCGCCGCACGAGCCGGCTACCATTGACACTGAGGTTCGTCGCTCAATGATTGGATCGCCCACAGTCTGATGCTTTGCCGCTGTCATTGGCATTGCCCCGCGCCGAGGCCGGCCCGTCTGGGAGGATGCCCGAGGCAATGATACCCCCGAGGAGTACCTCTTCCTCGAGCGCACGCCTGCAGTCCTCGCAAGATGGAACAGCTCCAACTGTGCGCCCGCGAAACCGCCGCTTTCTAGACGGCGCGGACGGTGCTGCATCTTCCTCGGCCTGGTCGAGTCCAAGCCGATCTCCAACACGCGAGACAACCCCAATTCCGGCGGAACGTATCGGTGCCGTTACTGGAAGGAACAATCTTGGAACTGAAGCTGCGGGGAGCCCCTCTCGAGCGAAAATCTCGCCTCCGGGTCGTGGATTCCTTGATGGCGGATGGGCTCCGAGCTGGGCGGCCGTACAAGATCTTGCCTCCTCGCTGCTTGCCAGCGGGGGGTCGGCGTTGAGTGGGGAGTCTCGCCAGCCACGCAGCAGAGATGGGAGCAGGCCACGGAATCACAACAGGCAGGGCGACTCCAGAAACGATCATGGCAGCGGCAAATGGGGTCCAGAACCTCCGGCAAAGGGGAGACCGCACGCGGCCGACATCGCAGCCGGATCGCGCGCAGAGAGGGAAGCGACCTTGAAGGCTATGAGAACAGCAAGCGTACTTGAGAGCTATGACGGCGTCAACGGAGGGCTAGATGTTACTGGGAAGTTCAAGAAGCGCAACTCAGATGAAATCATTCGGGAGACGCCGCCAAGTCAAGAGACGGAGGAGTATCTGGCCTACATCCACCACGTCCAGCCGACAGACACCTACGCAGGGATCGTGCTTAGATATCGATGCAGGGAGGACGCCTTTCGGAAGGCTAACGGGTTATGGTCTCGGGATAATATCCAAGTGCGGAAGTGGTTGGCGATACCCGTTGATGCATGTGAAGTCAAGGGCCGCCCTTGTAACCCGCCAGATAACCCATCCTCAATGGTCGACCTTCTCTCTCGGACTCCGGATACAACGGACCCGTTTGGCAGGGACAAACATGGAACGGAGGACGGATATTTCTCCAGCTCTAGGACTGAGTCGACCATGTCTCATGTAGGGCCTGGCGACAACGAAAAGCCATGGACACATGTAAGATGGGTGTCGATAGACTCGCACCCACATCCCGTCGAGGTCGGTCGAGTACCGCGAAAAGCACTAGGTTACTTCCCTCCGCGCAGGAAAAAAAGCCTGCACACCACGTCAACACTCACTACACCACGAGTATCCATTGACCTACCGAGTGTCGCTGTGTCCGAGGCGGCCGTGGAGAGCCCGCGCAGCGGTACCTCCCGTCGACCGAGCCTCTTGTCAAACCGCCCGACGCGCAGTCCCTCTTACGGCGATGCCACCTCCGGCTCAGCACCAAGAAGCAGCCTGAACAGCGACGACGCCAAACCGGCCTGGATGCGCCGCCCTGGCGGTGTCGGCTCTCTCGGCAGGCACGTGCGCGCGCCGGGCCCGGAGAGGGATTATTTCAACGCATGGGCCAAGAAGCACTTACCAGGGCTAAATCTCGACTCTCTGCCGTCCATGTCGGTCATGGGCTCTGAGACTGCGCGGTTTGGTTTCACTAGAGCAGACGACAACACGCCGGCAGCCATCGTCGAGAGTCCCTTTGAGGAGGGCCGTGATGCCGCATCGACCAGCCGGCAGGGCACGGGGCTCGATAAGGCCGCCGCTGCAATCGAAACATGGTTGAGAGGCGCTCTTGAGCGGGCCAAACAGGCACCTCTCACGCCTGTTCTTGGGCCGCGGCGGAGGTCGTACGCTTCGCCGCCGCCGGGTGATCTTATCGAGTTGACGGATAATGCTAGCGATGATGGGCGCCATGAATCCTCGCTGTTAGACTCAAGGAGCCAGCTCAATCCCGCTTTAGCCACTCCCACGTCTGGAGTACCGGGTGGGTCCTCGGGACGAAGCTCTGAGCAGGGCACCACGATTCGCGGAAGGGCTGGGGGTGCTGCTCCTCGGCAGGGCAAGAAGATGGATTAAACGGCGGGAAGAGCACGGTGCGGCTACTATACATGAATGGCTGCTATGCGGTCGAAATGGCATTGTAAGGTTCGAAGGATATTTTAGCATTGCGGTGCAGGCGTTGTTGCGACATCATTTTTCCTTGTTGAGGGCGGCGTGATGGATTCTACGCCTAGGTCCTCTGTTTTCTCTTCATTGTATATTGCAGCAGGAGATACACGTGGCGTCGTGAAGATGCTGGGCTTCTATTCACTTCTTGAACCCAAGTGAGCTCAAACTTGATAAATCGTCAAGCAGCTTAACATGCCCTTGGTACAATAGGCGACATTGATGAGCCCTGTTTTGATATGCTCGTATGAACTGAGCTGCCACAGATGCCACAAGAAATGACTTGGGGTCTAGTGGAAGAGCGTGG